CTCTCTCATCTCTCTCATCTCTCTCTCATCTCTCTCTCATCTCTCTCTCATCTCTTTCTCATCTCTTTCTCATCTCTTTCTCATCTCTCTCATCTCTCTCTCCTCTCTCTCTCTCTCTCCTCTCTGTCTCTCGTCTTTCCGTCTCTCTTCTCTCTCTTCTCTCGCAGGAGGATCCGGGCAAAGAGCCACATATAAAGGACTCTTCACCCCTGCCTCCAAAAAGAGCGCCGTGTTTTTTCCTACCTCGCTGCCCTCCACTTTCCCATTCTGGAGCGCTAGCTTTCGCCCCCCCCTTGGCCTCAAGTGTTAATTCATCATTGAGGGCGGCGTTTTCACTGCTCGGGCCAATGCCTTTGAGAATTGTCAACAATTGGACACACCAAAATGGATTCGTTTCCTCCCGGCAAACGCCAAGGACAGATGGATGGATGAATTCCATACTGAAATGCGTAGGGATATTGAAATGTTAAGCTAAGCCAATAGCTCAGACTTGCACCCATGTGCTGGTCCTAATTTAACCAATGCAAGAGCCAGCAACTTCGTGGGTGCGCATGCATACTGAGCGGCTAGACAGTGCCCAGGCTGCCACCCTAGTGGTAGTCCTGGATGAATACAGATTGTACAGCCTGTACAGCACGAAGCACATAGGATAGCGGAGTTTCACTGTTTCACGTGGTACTAGGGGCTTGCACGTTTCAATGCATGCTTTCAATAGCACAGGAATTTGAAAGAAAACACAAAGGATATGTGGTCGCAAGGTGCTCTGGAAAATTTGAACAACAAGATGAATGCGCCTTGGCTATCTCGTTGACCCACATCCCAGACAACCTCAGCGCCGGCTAGCCCAAGGTTCGCCAGATGTTGGTGCAAAACGTACCGCTTGCTAACTGTGTTGCCTGGGAGGAGGATACCATTCAGAGTGAAGAACACTTCCCCCTTATCTGACGCTAACGGACAGACTAAAGTACCGTCCTTTAATTGGGCACCTAACTGGCGAAGAGCACAGGATATTTGTGCTAGGCGGTAGACCCGGATCAACCGCCCGAAAGGCACCTAACATTTTATTCCTCGCTGGGAGCATCCCGGCAATGCGTACATGAAAGTGCTGTTTATTATGCCGTAGCCTACAGGCAATGATATAAAGCCGGTGCCGTTTGGTAGCGATCGCATGGAGATGTTCAGAGAAGTCACTCATGCCATGTTCCGGAACGCAATCCGCAAACGAGCCCATGGCTGCACTTCGTGCGATGGCGAGAGAAAAGGTACTACTTGTTTTCGCTCCAACCCATCTCGCGACGAAGCAAAGGGCATGTTGCCTACGTGCAGTAGTTGGCTGTGTCTAGTTGTCCCGTTGTCTCGAGCCAAAATGCCGATGGTAGAAGAAGACAGGGAGAACATGGCGACCAACAAAAAGAGCAACAAAACAACAAGAACAACTAACCAAACCAAGCAAAGAGGAGACAAAACAAGGAGCAAAATATGGAACACTGCTTGTAAGATTTACCAGGGCAGGAACCCAGGTCGAGTCATTCTTATTGGGGTTTGGCTAGAGTAAACGTCGTTTTTTGGCATCGTTGGCTACTCGCGCTCGTTTAGCAAGCCGTTCTTCAAGCGAGGTTTGTTCCTACATACTAGCCGCCTAATAGGTACGCTTGCGTCGGAAGCAGATTTGCAGTGGAAGTGGGTGTCTGCCCCCGACACCAGCTACAAGGCTGGAAAGGTTTCCAGGCATCCCAGCAAATTCAGCCTTGAGGGCATTTTGCTTCTGTCAATACCTTCAGCAAGAATAATCTCGAGTTTCAATCGTTTCTTGGCTCGATTGAATATTCGTATTTATTTCTAACATCCTAAATAACTCGTAACATATCTCTAATACAAAAACATGGATTACAATGATCTGCCTCGGACGCGAAGGGCCTCCCTACGGGCATTCCCCATCCTGGAAGAAATGGATTAAAGTTAGGAAGCGACAGAGCGGCGAGGTCGTTATTTTAGAAATTATTAAATATTCAATTCACGAAGACTAATTTCGAGGGCTAGCATATTGTCCTATGCATTCCGGTCACGGATAAAAGACATGCCATAAATCAGGTACCGTACAGAAGTCTCAAAATAAATCTAATTATCTATCTGTGTATAATAGGCCTGTTTCATGGCAAAGCTATCAATCCTATTTAGAAGAAAATATATAATTTGAGGGACATGCCATTACGGAAATATTACCAATAAAGAATAATAATAAGATCTATTAATGCCAAAATTCCTTTCGAAATACGTGTTCGTGAACGATTGTATGCGGCGAAATTAAATCTGCGATTATCATATTCACCATGTGCAAAAATATGAGGTCTTATTATCTTCGGATCTATTGCATCGAATCTATTGCAGAATATGGTTGTTCGTATATATAATGGGAAATTGTCTAGGGTCTTCAAATCCTACGAACGACAAATCAATACGAAAAACCGTATTGAAATTTCCAAGATCAATCAAATAATGTATTTTAAAGATATGATGTAAGCAATCTTATAGAATATACCAAAATTTAAATTATTTTAAAAGGAGAAATTAAATACCATTATATGCATTTTAAATATGTTAATAAACGATTAAAACAATCAAATGTTCGTTATGCAAAAAGCATCCTTCTATAAAAGAAATTATAATAATATAATCAACTACAACAACGATAATACGAACCAACAACAAAATAAAAACTTATTTACAAACCGAATAAATATAATGCCACCCAAATATGCTCCAAATAGCCATAAAATGCCATCCCATTTTTTATTACAAGAAAATTTAACTAAAAAAATAATTCTTAATAAATCAATGCCTTCGAAGCATTCCAAATTATAAAATAAATGCCAAATATAATATATATTAATTTTAATTCCTATCGTACAATTACCAATCTTCTAAATAATTCCCGAAAATACTAATATATATTATACGCGACCAAACGTAAATTTAACCGTAGCTATCAAAAGCCCAAACCTCATATAATTTCGTAGAAAAAGAATTCCATAAATCGTAATAATTTACATTTTCGTTCAAAGCAAAAAATTTCTAAATAATCCTCGCGCCAAACAAAATAACCAATTAAAAAAATTCTATATCAATTTTTATACCTCCCAGACTTTTCAAAATAATAATCTTCAACAAAATATACGCAACCAACAAAAAAAATTACGAAAATATAACCCAAAAAATTTAAATCAAAAAAATATAACACCCGGCCCTCATAAACGACTACGAACCACTTAATCTAAAAGTGGCGCTTTAAATCCTAAATTTAAAACAATCAATTTATACATCAAAAATTCCAAAAATAAAAAAACATATTCAAATATATAATAACATCAAATCAATATCGAAACAAATACAAACAAATATAACGAATAAAATTACTTACCCTCACCTAACAAATTAAATTATTAACTTAACACATAAATCAATCATATTTATGTTATCGCATATTTAAATACTATACATAGTAATCATATAGAATTTATTCTTTAATTTATTGATTCTATTTGTATATTGGATTTATTCTTGGTCCAGGGGCATACTTGATTTCTATGACCAAGAAATGTTTGTCGTAGCATGGCCCCTCGTTTACTTCGGAGAAGATTTGGATTGTCGCAATACACCAAAAGACTAAGGACCTGCCAGCCATGACTGACATCCTTAAGAAAGCAACTTCTTCTGACAACAAGGTTGATTGCAAGGCAAAGACAGCTCCTGCCAGCAACACCCTCCGTCCAATGGCTTGTCACTAAAAGAAGTGGTCCGTAGAAGTATTTGCGACGGCGTATAGACTAATTTCCGCAGATTGCTTTTGCTCTGTTCCGAAGTCCAAAGGACCTGTGTCACACGACGATGGAGAAAAACCGCAAGGTCAATTGGCACGTCGGCGCCGATTGACGAGGTGAGGGGCAAGGCCCACGTAAAAAGCCGAGCTGAGAAAAGTCAAGCAGAGGGTGCCACATTCGCAACGCCAAGAATCTTTTTGATTTCATTTTTGGTTTTATAGTTAAGTTGCCCTTGAACATCCTTGAACAAAAAAATCTAGGAACCACATGATTAGTGCGAGCGCTTCTTCAAGGAAGCCCCCCCTTCAGGCGGGGGGAGCTTCCTTGAAGAAGCGTGAGCTAACCTGCGTCCATGCTAGTAGCGTACGAGTAAGGTACTAGCTACCTCTCCCTTACTTAATTAAGTAGGCGCCGCCTACTTAATTAAGTAGGGTTCTAGAAGGCCTGTAGGTGATTGAGGCTATTGCTAACTTGAGCCAAGGTTTTTGTATGTTTTTGTCTGTGGTTGTCAAGTGGTAATCGAGTGTGGAGAAATCCGAAACCAATAAAGCATTGTCGTATTGCTCAACTTTGAGGCCGCTGTTGCCAACCAATCACGACCGCTTCTTACAGGCACCAAAACGAAACATAACCTGATGGGACACCAGTCTTGGAGGGCTTGTGATATCCCATACATACATATATCTCAATGCATTGCATCTCTGCCTTCCCATAGATACAGGGAGACGCGACCAGCATTCATAAAGTGGGGCATCGTGCCATGTTCTTGTCTTCCACCAGACTGCAACCACTGGCTTTGGTAGTGTATTTGGCAGCATTCTGAGCAGCTTCTTCTAGCTGCTTCTAGATGCTTCGCGCTGCGGTGTTCGCGGCACGCCGCCGGCAGGTGTTCAGCGCGTCAAGTGTGCCAAAAATGCCTCACTGCACAACGGGTCCTGAACCGGTCGTCTCTTGTTCGACTGCCTTGGCAACTGCACGGCTGGAAACGATGGGTCATGTCCAGTACAATGTTGGGCAAATGTCACATGACTTCTGTAGAATTCTTCGCAACAGTCCTGCTACATCCGACTATTTCACTGGATTATATCATCGTTCATATAGCGAATCACCCGAGAAGACCGATGCACGGCAAAAGAAGCTACAGTAAACAGAACACCAAAAACCAAAAGCAATCCCAGAAAGAAGCACCAAACAGCTCACCAAGGACGATGTGACAAACATGGGGAGGGAGACCTATCCAATAATGGAGTGGAACTTAGGCTTGCTTGGTCACGAGGCACCGCAGTATCAAGATTTGTCCCGGCTTTGCGGTGATCATTAAGCTGTCAAAACATAAGCAACACATTCGGAATGGGGATTGGGACACCTCGTGTGAACTCAATTGCATTGGTTGAAATTTGGATAGGGAAATTCAAAACAAAACCTGTAGACTGTAGATAAGCCACAAGGGTGTGCAGTCCATCAGCCTGTTGTCCTAAACTTTTCTGGATACTGGTAGCGTGATTGGGCTTCGTGGCCTCTCGCACCAGGTGACTACACTAGAAGAACGTGTCATGTGATACCTATTGTGGATATAATTTATGTATCTTTAGTAGATTGGCTAGAAGAATGCATGGCCCTTTAAAACTTACTGAATCTTGAATGATCAGACAGTGCAAGCCAGAAGCATATGAGGATGAACAGGTGGTTGACGACTTACATGGCTGAGTGCAGGTGTATGTACGTGGATGTGCCGAGAGAAGCCTCATCCGCATCCGGCACATGCTTGGAGGGAGAGATGTTGAGGCCTACGTGAGAGAGGGCGTCGTATCCACGCCATGCGTTCTGACCTTCAATAGTGCAATCATTTGCCTAAGAATCAAAGGAAGTGACTGGTCACTAGTGTGCTCGTTTGCTTAGTATACACCTGGAGATACACTGTACTCCTCCGTCAAGACGATCATCTACTCGGATCTACTCGCAGAAGAAGCCCTAGCCACCCATCTGCCCTCCATCCCGTACCCCAGAGCCTCTCCTCAAACGAAGATGCTGGGTCTGGGGCCTGTGCCATTTGGCAAAGACGGACAGAGTCCAGCACTTTAATAAACCCTATGAGTGTGGATAGACTGATAGAAGATCTGCTGCACATGATCCCTTCTTTCTAGTGATGAATGACTCCTACTGTATGTTTCATTGAAAGCTCTGCAGTGTTGTTGCCTAACGAGGAAGTACATGAAGTGGTGAGGTCCTAGGGCCCTTGCAACAAGAGTCTTGCACCTGGTTTGAGTTCTACAATGAGTTGTACCAGTTGTACCTATAATTTTCCTAGAAGGCTTTCAATCAATACACCTTCTGAACGGAGGCCAAAACACTTCTCCATAATTCCAAACACCTAGCCATGAACAGTACTTTCTTCAGCTAAGCAATATAGGGAGACAATGTCCTGATTTGAATTTAGCCAGCTTTTGAGTGAAAACATAGACAGAAATCAAACTAAGATGCTTTAAGGTCATGGAACCTTGGACATCTTTAGTATGAGGAAAAAGTCCATTAGCAAGTCGGCATTGCCATTGTCTTGGACCGCTGTGGAAGACGTACCTAAGTGGAATTATTGAAGTCACAAGTTGGATGGCGAAGAACAGCTTTTCGCTTTATAGAAAAGGAAACAACGAAGATGAGGCCTTAGCTTCTCTTTTTTCATACATTATTCTTCTTCACCAAGAAAAGTTGTGTTTCTTTGGTATTGTGGTCGGTGCGTCGTGTTCCAGGTATCACTGATACCACGGTATCACTTCAAAAGGACTACAGCAACGTGGGGTGGGAGTGGGCTTCACGTGGCTGACTTTGGCCAAAAATCACTTGCGGCCCGCTGACGACCAGGGTGACTGAATGTGGATAGGATTCGGCGAACTGGATATTTAACATGAAGGCTCAGTTTGCCAAAAAACCCAAATCCCCTGAACTCTCGCCACTGGGAAACTGCTCGTCCACCAAACCAAACATCCGGTTCTTTGTAAAACTTGGGCCTAGGGCCTAGTCTATTGAGCCAAAAGATGCACTTGTGACTTTACATGGTAATCAAAGCCTGAAAGTGATTGAACAGCTACTGTTCTGTCTAAGACGATTGAGAACGCGCGGTCCAACCAAGAACTAGAATCAGGAACGATTGAGCTACCCCACACAGATTTCAGTGACGCACAGTATGCATGCCGTTCCAAAAGTTGCGGGAGCTTCCCGTGAAGCCATGAATGTGCACTTTTCAATGAACAAACATAGTACCAATGATCACAGCTCCACTTTGGTGGATCATGCTGTTGATTTGTCGGGCAAAACCAAGATTTCAAGTGAAAAATAATACACACATCTCTGCAGGAAAGAAACCTATATATAGACCATTATAGACCCTTGGTCTTCTACGGCATGTAGATCTGAGAAAACTGAACAAACCTGGAAGGCTTCACCTACACATCCTCCAGGGCTGCTGACGGCTGGACGCAAAGCGGGAGGTCAAGGGATCATTGCAGGCCTTAGCAAAACATGTCATGGTTTCGAGGCCTCAGCAAAATCAAGCTGGGAGTTTTGAGGCTGGGTGGGTCTATCTTGCTTGTGCCAATTTGCTTCATGGGTCGGTTCAGCTAGATCGGGAGTCCCAGGCACTATTCCTGTGTGAGAGTATGGCTTGGGAGCTCGCTCCCTGCAGCCAAATCACAGATTAATTGATCCTGGGCCCTGTGAATATGGCGGGCCTTTGAGTTTAAAGAGATGCCACAGTAATTAGTGCTGAAAGGAAAAGTAAGCTCGAGCAACAACAAGCTCAAAAACTCCGATAGCCCAAATCATGCAAATCCTTATTTATAGACTCATTCTTATAATTTATGGTGTCATTTTCGAAAGGACAGGAAACACACCTTTTCTGAACCCTGACCGAAAAAGCACCTGTCAATCTACCAAGGACCAACGATTCCTACAAATCCGCACCATACTGTTGCGACCGCAACAACTCCAAGAACCCTCCAGACCAAGAGTTTCCGTGTCAGCGTCCAACAAGCCGCGTTTCACGTCAAGGCTGATTCGCAAGCATTTCTGTTCCGTCAAAACACTATCTAAATCGGGATTGAATCTTTTAACCTTTAAATGCTTGTAAATACTTTATTTTTGGAACCACCCGACTGCTCGAGAATCTTGGCTTCTTCGCTCCATGGCCCCCCCCGGGGGCCCAGCGAGGCGGATTCGCTCCGGCGTCAGCGGCAGGTCCACCACGAAGTAGTCGTGGGGCGCAGCACCAGTGTCCTGGCGAACGCAGTCCGACCGCACAGATCCAATAGGCAAAAACATGACAGAACACATATACCTTTGTAATGATGATATGTCTTCAACTACTGGCCACGCTGCAAAGTGGGGGAGATACTGTCCGACCGGCCTCTATGGAGTTGAGTTCAATCCAAAAACCTTCTCAGGTATGCGGATTTGAGAAGGATCAGAATCCCTTGAAGCAGGGTGGGTTTGTACAACCTCATCCAAACCCGTGGGGGACTGTGGACACGAGCAGTACTACTCACTACTCACTCACTTGGAGGATTGCCCCACACTTTTTTGAAGCTTTGAAACTGCAAAGCCTGAAGATTTCATGCTCCGTGAAGCCAACGATCATACTTCGATCCTCCCGAGCAGAGGCGATGGCCGCTCTTGCCTTGGGTGATCAGGCTGAAATGGATGGTAATCAAGCAGTTTGGGAGCGGCAGCAATTGGCGGGTTCCTAATCCAAGGTGCTTGGCAAGTTACAGGCTAGGTCATTGTAAGATTCTGGCTGCTGGATTCGGAGGGGTTTATTGGAAGCAACATCCGCAGCAAAGCGCAAGAAAGACAAGCCTGCGCCCCAAATCCTCTTGTCCAAAACCCGTAAGGAATGCACAGGAATAGGGAGGAGTAAGAAGTCACACCTTACCCTTCTAGTCACTCTTTCACCCGTTTCCATAATTGTTTCTACCGACAGACTACCTTCTGCTTTTGAGAGGTCATGTACAAGATTTGAGGGGACAAAGAAGTGGTGCGGTTCTCATACTTCTCGCCACGTGATTACATGCCTTCCTGACAGGGAACTGGATCTTAGTCGGACTTGGCTGCGAACGGATGGAGAAGAAACTCCTGGATTAAGTTGACAAGCTCCCTTACACCACGGTATGCTAGGGATCCCTAGCACACAAACATCACACTGTACAGAAATACGTGGTCTTTAGTCAACAACCCCAACCCCCTCTTCCACAAGTTACAAGATTTTCAATTTATTTTTTTTCGATCCACCCGTCCCTCGGCCATACTGCTTCATACAAAGGAAGTCTCTATTCAGGTGCAAGAGGTCATGCGAGATCTTTTTGGTGCCACCTAGGACATCCCCAATCGGGCAATCCAAGGCGTGTGCGTTCAGTTTCTTCAATTCCAAACAGAGCACAGTTAAGACCTATCTGCGCCCCACCAAAAAGCAACACTTCCCGACTAACCGAGGTGCAGCAAAGAAGGCGGAGGAACCTAAGAAGAAGGGTGGTTCACCAACCGCCTGGCAGGTGAGCGATGGGGGACCAAACATGCGAGGCCTTGCCCATCATGTGGATCCCAAAGGATCTGAGGTGATTGGCTCTCGATCGGTCGCATTTGCTTCATCGAACTGGACTCTGCGATTCATTTTGTTTCTAGTGGAGCGATCCACATGGTGAAAGAAACAATGAAACATGAGTGGCTTGCAAACAGATTGGGATGAAATTCTAGTTTCAGCATGAGTTTTTGCTTTTCTTTTTCAATTCCTGAAATTCAATTGTTGGTGGACACGTCTGTAATCACAGTGTATGCCTCTAGCTCCAGCTGTTTGCGAGCAGTGTCTACGTAGAAAAAAACATGATTGTTGGGAACAAAAAGTAACAGTTGCATCACTGTAGGCTTCATGGCCACAAGAAAACATGCAACATGCCTGTCCAAGGCGGTGGGCCAAGCAAGGCCCGGACAAGAGCGGAGAAGAAAGCCGACGAGGCAGAGAAGACAGGGAACATCAAGGTGGAATGAGCAAGTGCCCACGGCGCAGCCAAACGGTACACAGACTCGGACAAGGCCCGGACAAGGCGGTGAAGTAAGTTCGGCAAACAGTTCAATTACTGTCGGGGTTCTCTCTTAGGAAAAAGACACTGACCACCGTCTCTGGCCGCGTGCCTAAACCCTGTGTCCCCAACAGTAAACTGTTTGGGGAACAGTAAATACAGTTTGGGGAAAAAGGAGGACTGGGATCTTCCAAGTTTCGTGGATTTGTCTTCTTGCGAGGTAAGGGTAAACACGTGAGCTGGAGTAGATATAAAAATGGTCTGTAGAGTTTCATTCTACCAACCAATTATATTCACTTCTGTGGCAAGATTTGCTAGTGAAGGCTAAAGCACTATATAGAGGTAACAATTGCATTGCTTCTCCCTACGCTGCACACAGCAAGGCACTTAGGCACTTACATAGGCGATAGCCGTTCAATTATTGGCCAATCAAGCTCCAAAACTACAGGTAGCAGCAGGTGGCTCCAGAAGCATTCGAAGTTTACACCCGTTTACCGACAATCAACTTGCTTGGACGTCCTCCTTCCAAAAACACCTCTGTTGCTAGACCACCGAAGTATATTAGGATCTTTGAGGCGCTGTTTGGGGCCCAAGACATTGATTTCGGCCGTCTCTCTTGCAACACATGGAGGAATCTTCATAGCTCTATTCGATGACGAACGTAAGCTTTCGATTGTCCCCAGTTTTTAGGGATTCCATTTTGTGTGGATCACACAAGCTAGGCAACTAGAAATTGATAAACAATTCTTCAAACTCCGCATACCTGAACACTGACTCAGGTATGAGTACATATGAGCCATTAAACAAGCTATGTGATTACCATCATTCAGCCGTAAATGTGACAATCAAATACAATTCCAAATATCTCGCAGGCACACCACCGTACTTGATCTTTGGAGTAGATGACACACCGCTCTGCGGCATCGTCTCATCTGACTCTGCAGGTGGCGCACTTTGACAATGTTTTCCAACTTCTCAATTCCACTCACCCTCCCAAGTTGATACAAATCAACCCTTGGCTTGGCCCAATCTTACAAGGTATGCGGGCGGTCCACGTGCCCCTGGATCTTCAATTTGCTGCGCGAATCCAACAGCGTGACAGTTGCTTGGGACCCCGAACCCGTGATGAATGGATGGCATTGGGATTCGCAGAGTCCTCAGCTCAACGACACAGGCATACAGCAAAGAAGTGTGTGGTTGCCTGATGCTGAGCGCAAAAGAGGGAATGCGTCTGCGTCAAGAGTGAATCCAGAAGTCGTCAACTGCAAGCTATTCTTAATTACTACCAAGCTATCAGTGACTTGGGGATGGGGCCTTGCAAACTAAACATGTAGGCCCAGGATCTTGAGTGTTTCATAGTGTTTGGAGGACTTGCTCCCTTGAGAGGAACAGAACATGTTTGAAGCTGGGGGGATCATGGCACTTCCGCTACGTACAGAAAAAAGCTTCAGACCCAGATGTGCAAGATGTCCCTCTTGGAAGAAGACACCGATCGAACACACAAATCTCAACCCGATCTCCACGTTCGCGCGCGTTGCCGAACGGCACCTTGACCAAGGTGACCCGGAGGTCTACGGGCGTGTCATTGAAGGAGGGGATCCTGGATAGATCAGGCCAGAAAGATGTGGCAAAAAAGGAAGGTTGAAGATGTGCCGATCAGAAAGCAGGTTGGGCAAGCATGAACAAGGTCAAGTACCCGACCTGACTTAACTGCAAAAGCCCGCCAAAATGAACCAAAGGAGGAACATTTGCTTGATCTTTGGACTTGTGAGGTGAGTCTCCCCAATTGAAAATGAGGCATGGATTGCAAAATCAGGTATCAGTCTTTTTGGGAGCCACTAGAGAAATCCTAGGTGAAAGGGAAGACGTAGCATTACAAATTTGAAGTGTCGCCAGTCAAGGTGAAGTGACGTGAACACACGCGCACACCCTCGGATGCCCTTTGAGCAAAATACCCTAACTTGATGGCCCCCATCACGCCCTGAGTACAAATATTCAGTACACATATTATATACAGTAATATATGAGAATTGGGAGCGGCTCAAAGAATACACTGTTATCGTAACACTACGTAACCACCACTGGGTACTTTTCACTTGAGGAATGCCTCCACAAATCCCTTCATCTTGCTGACCCTGCTCAACTAGGCAAAAGTCCCCTGAGTCTAAGGTCTATCATGGGGATGGCTAAATGAATTGAGGGAATGGTGAATGCTGCCAACCAAAAATGCTGAAACTAACAACACCAATCCACTTTAACTGTCAAGACCCCTCCGTCTGCTGTTCAAGTCAGTCCTTTCAGGATATATCGACCGTCAAAAGGGGCGATACTGGCCCATGTGGAAAACCCGGAAGTACTTTGTTCTCGTTGGAATTAAAGACTTTTCCAAGTTGGGAAGACCATGCTCTGGGCTGTTTGTGGGTGAATCGGTGCAAACTTCGAGCCCCATACGGTGTGAAGTGCTAGCCTGCGTGAGAATGACAATGACAAGTAAGACGAAAACGATGAACAACAAACGGTACATTTTTAGATGCTACCAGTACTTTTATTCTGGATCTTTTTGGTCTTTTTCGACAAAGGTTTGTCGGTCCCACGCTGAAGCAATCGCTTTCTGCCTGAGCATCCCCGCTTGTAGGTTCCCGGGCCACGGGTGAAGCACACGCCAGGCTTTAACCAGCTGAACTCAGAGCAGCCCCAAACTGTCTCCTGGCAGAAAACATGGGCTTCCCCATGTGGTCTATAGAAGGTCTGGGCATATTCATTAGCTTCTGATCTTTTCACAGCAATCCGAAACGGAGGCTTAAGTGAGATGTATGCATGTTATACATGCTCTGGGCTATGAACCTCTCTTGCATTTCTCTGCGTAGACCCGGGCTTTGATATCGTGTGTTCTTTCTCACATCTCCATCAAATACTCTCTCTGACATTCCCTTGACAACTTGCATGCCTATTGAAAACACCAATTTCGGAGTGGCTTGTTGGAAAGGAAATCCACATTGAAGATCGAACAAATGCCCGTAATGCCAAGGTGCAAACTTTGGAGACATTCGACTGTGATTCAAAACATGCTCACCCTTGTGAGAGCGACAAACAACAGGTTGTGTAGAACAAGACACCCTGCTTCCAGACCAGGCACTGGCAGCAAGCAGCATGCGGCTTCATGTTGCTGGACACGATTTGCGATCACCACAAAATATGTGAAACTACTTGCCCCCCTGCATATTTTTACAGCATTTTCTTCGATCATTTTGTTGGAAACCACCTGGACAAACAAACATCAATCATTCCATATTTTTCAGATACCTCAAACTCAGAAACATGTGCTCAGCATCACGAACCCATCACGCAAAACGCCTTCGGCCCTTGCTCTGTCACCAGATCCACGAAACATCCTCACCACCACGCCCAAGGACACCTCGATCGTGGCCCAGCCGAAGCCCTGGGTGAAAGCACCTTCGATCTGCCCTGACAAGCTGTGACTGAAGTGATCGTGGCCGTTTTGGTCACCTGTTCGTTTGTGCCTAAGGCTTGTTACATTGGAGTGGAGGCAACAAAAATTGCCACAAAGGCGCTTTAGTGTTCAACAATCTGGGGCAGCTTGAGCAACCCTCACTGGGAAGCACCTGTGAAATAGACAACAGAAATTCAATCCATTGTGAAACATTTACCAACCGTCCGTCTCTCCATCACGTATTATTGTTCGATGTATGCTCTGGAGATTCTTCGGCATCTGAGTGCAGCAAATCTAGACTTGCTTTGGTTAACCACCAAACTATGTGATGGCTGGTAGACATACCGTGGTGGGCTCCGTGGCCGGCGATTCCAATTATGAAGAACATCTTCGCAACATGTCTTCCGTGAGCAAATGTGGTCGGGACAAGGAATCAAGACCTAAAAAGCAAAGGAGCAAAGCGAGCCCCTTTTGGTGCCAAGATGAACTCTAAAGGCTTTGAGGCACAGAATCACAACAATATTCGATGCGCTGCATAATTTGTCCATATTCAAGTTCGCCCTGGGATATATCGATTGTGAAGGCTTGGAGAACAAAGCTGAAAAAAGGTGTGCAACAAATACCCCTTAAGAGGAATGGGAAACCGGAGGGACTAGGGACTAGCCGAATTGATTTCCCTCCCTTCTTCTGGCCCCCGATCCTCTCCAACCTATGCATTGAGCCCCAAGTCCTGCTTCTCTCTTTTCTTGCTTATCTTCTCGTCGCATCTTCTCTTTTCGTAACCCAGCTCCAATGCTCTCCCTTCCCTGTCCTTCCCGTGACTTCTCTTTTGCATAATGCAGTATTGAACCCTGAGGCTGCATCCCTGTAACAATACTGCCATTGCATTATGATTTATATAGATTATTATAGATTCTAATATAGATGTCTTTCTTTACCAGTACAAGAACGAACATGACGTCAAGTTGGCTGCTCTGTCCAATCTGGCCAGCCTATGTCAATGGCTGGGTTGAGGCTGTTGCCCACATCCATTAGGATGTCAGATCCTCAGCTCAGAGCAGCTGTCGACAAGCGGTCGACTGCAGAACATAGAAAAGGACCACAAGGCACGGCTGCTTTGCGACGGAAAAAGGGGTTCACAATTTGGGGTCCATGTTGGGAGCATAGGCTGATACTTGGACCGGCAAAAAAAGAGATGCTGCTGATGTCTTGTTGTTTCGTGTGTCGAACACAATTAAAGCAGTAGGCGTCACCTGGGTTCTTCTCTGTCAACTGGGCAAACACACACACACACATATATATATATATATGAATGTACATGTATCACACATATATATATATATATAATTGTATATATATATATATACACACTCAACAAGCACTTAGGCGTCCGTCCGGTTGCCGGCGCAACCAAGGGAATTGGAGCCTGCGAATCCTTTGCTTCCAAATGCCCATCCAAATCGATCCTTGCGCTCTCCAGGCTTCCATCATCTTCCATCCAACCACTCGGAGTTTACAAGATCAGGGTACTTCGATTCTGACGAGAGCGAAGAGCTTTGGTGTAACTTCCTCTGGCTTATCCACAGAAGTGAAGACAAATGTGTAGTATCCACCCCGTCATGATGGAACACTATTTCTTTATAGTCACTACATTGCTTAAGCGAGCCATCTCTACGGTCCTTGAGTCATCAACCTTCCATGTTGAACTTGCTTCGATTCAGGCCACATCGTCTGAAACACCTGCTTCACCAGGGGTTACGCACTTTCTTCCATGTCAGCCACCGAATCCCAGAAGCTCTCCCAGAGCCCTCCTGATCAAGTCACTCAAAATTCGCATGTCGCCAGTCAAGACCTCAAATGAGTTGAAGGTGCATGGATTCCACCGCAAATGTCACCACCTACTCTGCAAGACTGACTTCTTGGGATATCCGACACCGCAATCATCTACATTAATTGCCACGGGATTCATGCATGTGATGTGGAGATGCCAGGTACATGCAATCCACCAGGGATAAAAATTGCCAACAGAAGACTTTTGGGCCGACTCAAGGCTCCAGGATCATCCCGCCAAAAATAAGGCCTTGGCCACTATTCAGCCAAACTTCCTGACTGATGCATGCGCTCTTCGTTTCTAGCTAGCTATTTATGTTCCAGGTGCTTTCAAACTGAACAGTATCTGAGCCGTTATTTCCAGGTGTTGGGTCTGACTGGGCCCTGTGACCACCAACGATCAAACACCTGGAGACTCCACTCCTCACTGGCATTGTGGTGCATTGATCTAGGATCTCTACTCTCTACTGGTCTCCAGTCTCTCCTCTCTACCTTTCCCTCCCTCTCCATTTTGCTTGCGATTGGGTGGGGGCTAAATGCCAACACGTTGTCGGGTTGTGAAGCAGAAGCTCTGGACTGGCAAGACTTGAAGTCATAATTACTTGCCGAAGCAGCTTCACAATAAGAACGGTATGTACGTTCCTGGTGCTTCCAGCAGGAAAAGACAAATGTCTCTGCGGCAGTCAGCCAACTGTGCCGCAGCGAAAACACGAGACTCCGTCCGTGAAAACATGGGTACATGATACATGTGAATTTCGTTTGTTGGCATGCAGGGCCACCGGAAAGAATAAAGAACCAACAAAACCTCTTCAAAAAACGGTGTTTCCAGCCTCTCCCTTTCACGTCATTTCAATGGTTCCTCGCAAAAGCGCTGCTCTAAACGTGTGGTTTCATGATCAAGCAACGTAGACCGACACATCAACAAACCCACAGTCGCTAGCGCCGCCATTGCCTTGTTCGTTGCCTCATACGAGGGCACAATAACATGGATGAAGCTTGTCGAGATTCAGTCACGCATGAAAAAACTGACCACGAGAACCATAGTCATAGTCGGAGATTGCAACGATTTGGCGGACCTTTGCTGAATTACTGTAGCAGCACTATCAAAGGTACTCCTTCCATATTGTGTTCAACACAAACTGCAGAGTTGCCTGGAGGTAGTAGACCACAAACTATCCTCTCCCAGATTTTAAGACAAACATATCACATCGATGGTTTTTCTGATTGGTCCCTGACCCCAGCAAAACCACAATCACTTGGCCCTCTGACATCGATCTCCACTTCTGAACATGCAGCTCCAAAAGTAAAGTAGTTGAATGGCTTCCCTGGAGTGCGGCTGTGCTGAAACAAAGACATGAGATGTGTGCTTCTTCCTCTGAAAGGATGCAGAAAATGGGACTTTTGTGACAGCGAAGACTTGTGGAAATGGTTTGCTACAGTCAAGCATGAAAATTGTACCTGCAAACTTACGCTCACACAAAGTCTTCAATCCACGAGAGATCTGAGTGTACAACAAATGTCAACTTTTTGGAGGACAAACAGCAACTACCTACCAGCAAAACAATCCGATCGAAAATAACAGGCACACACCCGAGCAGTGCTGCTTTATAAACACACTGTTTCACAGATTTTCTCCTGTACACTTCGATTGATCCTATCATCACCAGTTTGCGTGGAGTTTGCGTGTTCTAGCCCTCCTGGCTACAGTTTCAAACGTCAAGACTCAATCATCCCACACATTTTTTTCATTGTTGCAATGTGTTGTGCTCTTCGGTGGATTCTTGCATGCATGGTCATCTCACTTTGTACGAGTAGCTAGACATCTTGCGCAAGCACCTCTGCTCTTCGGTCAAAACCAATAAAGCGCTTCCCGCAAAACAATTTGCCTGTACAAGTTGGGTCTGCCCACTCGCACTCCCATGTTAATTGGAACATTTGCATCCAATTTTTTGGATGATCATCCAAATAGACGAAACATCACAAATACCTGATACCTCAACCCCTCAGCAAGTCCAGTGTGTTCACAACCGCAAGCATAGCACTTCGTCGATTGCCCTCGTTCTTTTGCCTCGTTGGTCTTCTGGCAAGGACCAGTCATAGCCTCAAACCATGGAGATGTTTCAATCCTTTTGTCCAGCAGGTAGTGATCTCCCCACTCACATCTAGCATCATTGAAACACAAAATGCAACAACCTAAGCACGCAACTTCAATGTACAGGTGTCCAGGGCACAATTAGGAGTTCGAACATACCAGCACTTCCAGTGTTTGGAATGCACATGGACAGTGCATTTTGTTACGGACAACCAACGGTTTCACCACACATGTGTGTCTGTTGTACGTCTCTGTGTATATCTATTCCTGCCGCACAAGGCCAAGATTATCCAAATACCTTTCTATCTACTATCAAATTACTATCGACTCCAATAATATCGAAACAGGGTGTACGAAACAACCCTTGAACGGCCTTTAGCCGGCACTCCCTACAGCTGGTCGTGAACACTTTTCTTCATCGACACATTCTGAAAGAACCAACCCCCCAATATATGGCTGCATTTCTCATTCCCACAATTGCTGTACCATACTGTCATGCAACACTGAAAATCGAAAACTTCGACGATGACTTCTTTGGATTGGTCTTTACCCGTTCCGGAGACCGAGCAGCCGATGCCAGGCGTGGCATAGAAACCGTGGGCCGAGAGGTCCACCCGGTCCATGTAGGCGGCGTTCACTGCGCCTAGCTAGTAACAAGTAAATAACGAAAAAACTACGACCTAAGGACGCAGATGACTTAGTTTCTAGATTTTGGTGGGAACATACAGAGATTGACTTGTAAAAGCGCCTTTTAGAGCAAACCTATGGTTTTGGCTCATTTGGCCTTTCTCCCGCAGTATGCATCATTGAACCTATGCTTTGCCAAGGGTGAAGTGGATAAGTGCATGCATGATGTCTTGATCAGGAAGGGTTGTTGTTGCATGCAGTATATGGACAGTTTTGATCAGTATAAATAAATTTTGGATATGCAAACAACACACAACCAAAACTGCAGAACCCGTAGGAATCTCTGCAAGGATTCTAAGATGACCTTTATTTTATCTTTTTGGCGAGCTCTCCTTATTCTCAGACCATGGTTTTGCAACTTCCTCAAGTAGTTTGTTTCTTCTCATTATATAGCTTTATACTGATTTTTACAAAGACGAGTAGTAGATCATAAAGGAGACATGCTGTTTTAGAACCAACAACAGCAATAGCTAAGCAACACAACAAAAGCAAAAGAAACACAAAATTGAATAGGGAGGGCTGAGAGAGAGAGAGAGAGAGAGATACGGGAGAATAGAAATGCATTGGAGCAAAAGAAAAGCCGATCAAGACCAGGACAAGGGGATGAGTCAAAGAAACACATGACGTTGGAAATTAAGCGTATGACTGGAAGATACTGGAAGAGTTCAATAAGAAGGGGAGCTTCCCTTGCGTCTGGCCTTGCTTCTTCTATTCTGAAGATTCTGCCCTCTATATTTGTTTCTTTGTAAGAGCTACACTTTGGAAGAGAAAGAGCTAAGCCTAAGCAAGAACAAGAAAATCTACTGGACAAAAGAGAACGCTCGGTGAGAATAGGAAAAACTCGTGAAGAAAAGGGCAATCGTTAACGAGAGAAAAACAGGAAGAAGCGAATGGAAAACACGGAATGTAATTCAGTTAACATAGACAGGAAGGGCTCAATAAGGCGAAGAAACAAAACGATAGAGCCAGCAATGAGCAGCAAGCTAATCAAAGTTGGGGCAAAGGGGGAGCAAGCAATCAAAGATTGGCCGGTGTTGATGAGCTATTTGTATATAAAATATAAAATATACCTTTTCCGGATATGTCTTGGACACACACACACACACACCGCAGGACATGCGTACTGAACTGAATGCCGCTCGCCGCACGGCAGCCTAAGAACCCAAATTCCTGAGAAGGCATGTAAGGGGATCTGATCATCTCTAGTCGTTAGGAGGCCAAAAGTCCAATCCACGAGGCAACGAAGCGACGACAGCACGAAATGACAGCGGCACGCACATCTGCAGAATACATTAGCCCTTTATGGAAGATGCGAGTGACAGCTTACGTCGGAATGATCAGCTCCGATGTCCTCCCAACTCATGAGCAGCTTCGTTGGTAGTAGACTCATGAGCGGGCTACTGCCCCCTGCTAGCAAATCAACTGATTCCCTGTGATTCCAAGGGTTTCACACACACACACACGCGCCCTCCACGTGTTGGGGCCCCAAAACTAAGGGGCAAGCAAATGTGCATGTGTGTGCGCAAAGAAGACAAAAAGATGAAGACATGAGAAGGAGACAAGACAAGACCAGTGTATGTGGTTGCGATGAAGGGGAAACCAAATGCACAGGACAACCAATGAACCAGACCTCATTGTCAAGACCTGGGCGACCTGAAGCCTGAGTTGAAGGTAAGTGTGCACGTACATGCTAAGGGCCGGACCGTTGTGCGCACAAAAGAACGAACGGGATGAGATGAAGAAAGGCCATGAAGCGAAGAACGAAAGGAATTTGTGTAAAGGGGATAGGATGAAAGGGGAAACCAAACTGGAAACCAACGAAGCCAGACCTCGTCATTAGGGAAAGCCTAGGTAGACCTAAAGCCTCGTTCAAGAAAAGTACACGCTGTGTGTGCGCCTAAGGTTCCGACAGGCCCCAATGGGTCTTGAGAGAACTTCGGCCGCTGCGGCCACGTGGCGCCGTGCCAAAGCTTTGACCGCTATGGTCACGTAGTGGCATGCCCGGTGGCGGCCTACTTGTTCTCAATAGTTCATCAAGTCTCGGCAAATAGCTTTGTTACAAGACTACTCCGTCCGCTCTGGACACGTACGTTCCCAAGCAACGGGAGCATGGACAAGCCCCCATTTGACGGGGCCACAGGAACACTCCTCGGGTACAGAGACACACTTAGGAAATGCGTACTGAACTGAATGCCGCTCGCCACACGGCAGCCTAGGCACCCAAATTCCTGAGAAGGCATGTAAGGGGGTCTGATCATCTCAGGCCAAAGGTCCAATCCACGAGGTAACGAAGCGACGACAGGACGAAATGACGGCGGTCGCTCACATCTGCAGAATACATTAGCCCTTTATGGAAGATGAGAGTGACAGCTTGTGAACACCACAAACATCGCAGGTACGTCGGAGTGATCAGCTCCGATATCCTCCCGACTCATGAGCAGCTTCGTTGGCAGTAGACCCCATCTGGAGAAGGACTCAAAGTCTTCTTGGCATGTTGCTTTCCCATCTTCTTTACTCACCGTTTGTCCTTCACAAGGAGTATTCATGCTCCGCTTGTGTCTGACCGCACTGCAACCCCACTACTGCTGGCCACTTCTCAACGTTTTTGGCACGTGCAATGCCCCGCGATATTTGACACCTTTGATCTTGACCTGAACTTGTCAAACTTAAGCTTGATCAGCGTAGCAACTACTCCTGATGCTCTTCCATGGCCAGCAGTTGCGCTGCCACCACTACAACCTCCACACAGAGCCCGCAAAACCAATCGACACTTGTGAATACATTCAGCTTCCTCTGCCCATCCAGGTCAGCCAGCATGCTCTGGCTCATACACACAAATTCAAAAGCACAAGGGGACAATGCTCTTTGGAAGATTGTCATTTCTTGGAGGACCCATGTCCGCATTGTCCCAAATTCATATTCTTTTGGTTTGTGAGGGAATCTAAATCAACGTCATAAAACCAATAGAACGGATGTCCAGTACAGCATACAGCATACCAGTCGAAGAAATCTAGGTGAGCATGCCCATACAGCATACCCATCTAGGACCAGCTCGAGTCCTCCAGCTTCAAGGCTTTGAGGCTCCAACTCTTGAAGTCCGGAAACTTCGCCAAATATGGCCTCGGCCATCTCAGCTGTATCAGCTGTCAGCTCAGCTGAGGTCGTTCCGAACCCACGAGATGTCTGGAAGAGCGTGTGGAAGACACCGGGATCACTTGAAGAAAAAGCTTGGCTTCCAAAATGGTCGTCATACTTGAAACATCTGGTGATTGGAGTACTCCTCTATCAAATCCAGGTGCATAGTTGACCTTGCCCTGCCAGAGGGTGACCCCAACCTCCATCCATGTTGAAGTGGTTGAGCCTTTCTAGTCGGCTTTCAGAAGCAAAGATAGGTGCAACCCTCAATGTGCCTGATGGGATTCTTTTGGTCGGCACAAAGCAAAATTGCAGGCATGAGTTGTTTGGAATAGGAGGGCTACACAAGAAACCGTACTTGCCACTACCCGCCTCTTTAGCAAAAGCTTTCGGTTGTGCACCAGTGCACGGGAGGCTTTCATCCATCTTCTCTTGCATCTTGGTAGACGGACATCACGCTACAACTTCAATGCAGAAAACTTTTGGGGCGAGTGTGCCTGGACAGGGGTTCTAATGCGCCCTGTCTGGTCACGACCTGTTCTGGTGTGAGGTAAAGAGCCCTAAACAGTCTAGATCCTCGATTCCTAGAGGAAATCCTTTGATATAGCCCAACGCAGTGCCCGCTCTTAAATGGCTGAAAGGCTGAATGTCAATAGTTGGTATGAAATTCTGCTCAAGGGCTGAAACCGGCTGAAACCTCGCAAAACTGCCTTGAATCAAACATGGCCAAAACATGATAGTTACACTAATATGAAAACATGGCATCCTGATCACAGGCTCCAGATGTTCGCTCTCTACGTTCTCGTTTTCTTTTCGCATTTTCCTTGATTCTTTGCACTATCGGTGGTGATTCTTGGGAGGAAAAAATGACGGTTTCGTGACCAGGATAAGTTTTGTTCTCAGCTTTGCTACTTTGCTGACGTCGTTTATATGCATCATTCAGGCCGGGACTGCAAGCGACTCTTAATCTTCTCGCAAGCATTCAGGGTGGCCATGCCTCAGTACCAGTGGGGTGCATCATTGCATCCGGGCGGTCGGAACACCCACCGGTCATTCCCCGCTGGTCCTGCAAACTCCCTTCTGCAAATGAGGGCGAGTCTAGGAGGAAAGGCCTCCCACTCGATGTGAAAAACACTGATCTTCACATTCACCTCTTTCCTGGCACCGTCCTGAAACGGGAGGGGACAACCCTTGCGGTGAAAAAGCCTAGACATGTTTACGGTAAAGACCTGGTGTCAAGACCTTCATGCTGGCTGATTGACATGGGAATAAATATGGTTTGGAGTGGGACGGTCACAAATCACGTGGAATACAAAAGCTAGCCATGTTTCTGATCAGTGACAATTTTATTTCCAAATGTGCGGGGCAAATAAGGCCCCTCTTTCCACTTGGGCAAGGAACATAATCCCAATGTTTTGGTACTTCTAGGATCTTCGAGGAACGATTGTCTGCTCAAGAATCCGTAGAAGTGCGCCAAGAATCCGTAGATGTCCGAGGAGGCCGAGGCAGCGGTCGGGGAGGCGTTGGGCACCGTATCGGTGCCCGTCTCACGGAAGGCCACCGCCTTCCGTTCAGCGGGAACCAGGGATCTTCATGCCAGGATTCAACACAGGACCTTCAATCAAGTTGTAGGATATCTCTATAGGTTTTTCATTTTTCAATACGTCCATCATAATATTTTCTGTCGACAATTCTTGGAGGTGAATGGAATCACAGAGTCGACCCCTGATGACTGATCAGAAGGGAGACCTAACAGCCAGTCTAGCTGGATCTTGTCTATGACCATGATCGTCCATTTGGAGGCTTTGGTTGTGAAACCGGCGAAGCCAACTCATGACATGTTTCGCGGATGGAGTTTCTTTTGGGATCCCACCTCTTTTCATGTTGGTCCGAGAACTAAGCCTCAAAACGACTCAAACCCCAAACACCCGAAATTTGGTCACCTTATGCTGAGCCGTCCCACGGCTGAGTCTGACCGGTCCAAACGGCATTCCGAAGATTAAAACACATGGCCCATGGCCGAATGACGTTCTGAAGCACTATGATCTGAATCCATGAATAAGTCGGGGTCTATGTACTGCGTGGGGTGGACGTTATGCTCTTCCTGGCAAAAGATAGGTCAAAGCCTCACCCATAGAAACCGCTCCAAACATGGACAAACCTAGGACCTAGACATGGTCAAATCTCCTCAACTGCCTTCCTTCACTGCCCGAACGCCTCCATGGGGATGCCAAAAGCACGAGCCTTGCTACAATCTCGCTTTGTCGATGCTGGTGTAATTCTTTTTTTCTTAGAGAGCATCGGTCGTGGTCAATGTTGTTCTATATGTCATATATTTTTTTTGGTGTTGTTCCACTGTCCTTCATTCAAGGTTCCTCTATTTTGGCCAGGTACTCTAGGCTGAGCAAACTGCAAAAATCAAACAAGTGCAACAGGAAATGTCGATTTCAAGATGCAACATCCACTATCTTGGAAGCGGGTGAAAGTCTAATAGGGATTTCATGGAGTCGCAACAAACGGCTTTTGCCAATCCAATCTTTACATAAGCTCACCACCTGGTTTTTGTGCTGTCAGGATGTGGTCTCGATCCGTGGAATTTACACATCACTGACTCACTGACCGGAAGCACAACCTTGACCAAAGCTTGAGATTGACATCCAGCTCACCCCGTTCGACCCCCTTCCAGTGCAGGACCGCAATCTGGCAGATCTTGGTGTGGAGCCCCTGACCTCACTCACTGTGCAAAATCAACGAAGAAGCAGGTAAGAGCCCATTCAACGTGCGACGTGTCTTCGTTCCTCAGGTCTATATAGGTGTCGCTGTGTGACTTTCCCCAATTAGAGACCCAAGACTTCGTATAACACCGCAATGAAGCTCCCTTCAAGCTTAGCTCCATGGATTTGGAAGGCATCCAATTCTCACAGAACACCATCGTATTACTGCAGGTTGAAGAGGTTACAATGCCACACCTCTCTTGTGCTCGATTACGGCCAAATACGGCTGGTGATGGTCTTGAAAGAACTCCCAACCGGTCTTGGCTACACTGATCTGGTCCCTGACCCCCATTCATGCCTAAAAAGCTTCTACTCTTGGGCGCTGGCCCATCTCGGTGCCGCCATGGGTCAGTAAAACCTGAAAGTGCAAGGACTGCCAGGGACGCTTAGGAATGGTGTGGATCACTTTGGGCTGTGACACCCAATGATACAAGCAAAATGGTGTGCAAATCGAGCAAGTTGGAGAGAGCGAAACATACGCATAGACTCATAGATTGAAAGACTTTCCTGAGTCCCACCCCTAACACCCTGATCTGCAAAACTGGCTGCACTGTCTTTTTTCCCAGTGCTTCGGAGCCAGAGAGCTTGCCCCATATGGCTAGGGTTCCCGTAAAAACATGGACTTTCAAAACACACCTTCCTTGAGTTTAAACACGATCCTTGGTATCGCCTGCCTTGAACCTCAATCCCCTGCACAAAAGAATCTTCCTAACATCACTAGACTTTCGGGTCGGGTTCCTCACAGCTCGGCTTTGAGACCTTCTTCACTGGTAGCGACCTGGATCTTGTGAGAGCTAAACCCAAACTCTGCTCTACCTCACTTTAGGAACACAAGAACCAAATAGGTTCACCAACACTTTGGTCTAACAAGGTCAGTACCAACTGGCCTGGCGCAAACAGAAGGCAAATCCATTGTCATAAATCCACACAGGTTCAGGGTTTGCGTTTTTATCTTTCGAGTGCTGGGGTCTAGGAAACTCATTGCTGTCTCAAACCAAATCTGGACGAAGTCTGCCACGCTCAAATGCGAAATGCCAAGCCAGTCCGTCACCACCGACGACGCTCTGGGGGCGTCGACGGTGCCATCGGTGTAGACATGGACCAGTGCACCCGCCTAGGCCAAAGGCGTAGTGAAATGGTGGAATGAGTCCCGGAAGAACCTAGACCAAGCTCCCACAGTTAGGCATTGGACATCAGGGGACCAATAGGATAGTAATCGATGGTGTTTGTAAGTGGTGCATTTTGGTGCTTGACCTTGGTTACGGACAAGCGAGGAGATGGGACGGATCGAGCCTTTGAACCCACCAGTCAAACACCGAGGCTGTAACCTCAAAAAGCACGCAGCTAGTCCTAACGACTGAAGCAGTCCAAGACCCGCTTGCCTACAACTCCCACTCCAAGACACGATGCCAAGGGTGGGGCTGAGGAAGTGAACCTAAGTTCCGGGCTTGATTCATGAACTTCGCTGTAAAGCTGATCCCAAACTTTGTTGGCAGCTGCGCCAAGCCTCGCCTCGGCAGGCAGCTTAACACTTGGAGGGTTGGGATTTTTCCAATGGTTTTGTTGTGTTTTGTCTCGGAAACTAGGAACCCCCTAAAGTGACAGGGATGGACCCCACCAGCTGAAAACTATATGGCGCCTTTGGGACCTTGGTGGGACCGTGGAGAACAGGAAACGATTTTGCCAACCATGGAACCCTCGATCGCAACTCTTCACCTGAACCTTTGAAAACAGCTTTCTGCCAGCCTGGAACCAGGCTCTGATCGCAACACTTGTCTAGAAACATGGAACTTAGTGCCAGGTTCTGACAACAATTCAACTAGAGCCATCCCCGGTTCCAAGCACACTGGTTTGTCCCGCCCTCTTTTTACCTTGTAATCCTTTTTGCTTGCATAATTTTCCAAGGAAGTTCTATGTTGCTGTGGTGCTATAATAAGTAGGCACCTACTTAATTAAGGAGGCAGGGCCGCGTGTTTAAAAAACAATAACAACAACAAGAAAAACAGCTGTTCCGGGCCATTCCGCATTCTGTCCGCTAGTTGCGGGGCCCCCACTTCCGCCAGCGGTGCTGGCGATTGAACCTCGGAAGAGATTGATATGCGAACAAGGGAACACCATTTATGGAGGGCGGGCATTCTCACTTGGGGCAAGCTCCGTTTACTGGAGTCTATCGTGAACAATTATGGCAAGACACCTAGTGCCAAACTCTTAGTCCACCCTTCCGACACCTCATCAATATGAGGTTGTTGTGCGCTTAAGAGAGCCAACCCATGGGAGGCCAGCCACTGTGACAGCTGGGAGTTATTTCGCTGCGTTCGGCACCTGCTCTATGTCGTTGGCCTAAAGCGCATGCAGCCGAGGTCAACAAACAAAAGAGCCTCCAGCCTCCAGTCAATTTCTTGATAGTAGCAAAATTGGAACCATTATATTATTGTCAATTCGACGCCATCGAATGACTCGTCATGATGCCAGGCCAGCGACTCCCGCGGAACCTTTTGGGCCAAGCCGCCCTTTCGCTTCGGCTTGCTCCGAGCTACTTGAGCCATGCCTACGACTACGATGGTGTGAAACGGCCGCCCCACCAGCCTGATTTGGGCTTTGTGTCTTGGCTGCGGCTTCGTGAGGGTGACCAAGCTTCGTTGAGTTGCTACCAACCTCAAATTGCCACAGGACCCCAGCCAGGGCCCGCTACTGATTTGCTTCGAGATCGGCGAGCGCTATGGCAAGTTCAACTACGGTGCAGAATGTTGATGCGAGCGAAGACTCTTGGGCGCCTACCTTCTTGAACAGACCTGCAGGTTCCAAGGAAAGGAGGGCTCGCATCCACCTCTACCAGAAGAAGATGGTGTTGCAGAAGAAACCACAAGAGGGCATCATAAACTTCCACCGCACGTTCAATTACGACGCTCGGGTGGAACAGCCTTGAACCTCCTTCGAGAAGCTCATCTACAGCATGAGCAGAAGGAGGACTCTACAATGCCTTAGCCCAGCAAGACAGCACTGCAAACACCGAAGCCTACACATTGAGGTCGCCAAACATAAACATCACCTAGCGCCTCATCACAACTTCCAGGACCTTCGAAGGACCATCATCCACTGTCCAGGCCAGCCCACGTCGCAGCGTTTTGGAAACTGATCTGGTCCCCTTTTTGCACTTGAAGACAGCAACACGGCTAAGCTCCAACACCCACAGAAGATGGTGATCGATGCAAAAGCCTCGCGCGACGTATTGGTCAAATGACGTGTTGGTCACCAAAGACAAATGGTCTTGCACTGGAGCCAGTGTAGCATGGGTGTCAAGCGAGCTACAGTTCGTGGATGCCATGACTCCACAAAGCAAAGTGCCGCAGGACTTCTGACACAACGACTTCGCAGCCACACGACACAACATGCCTGAGACCAGACCCCATTCTCACAGCGGCAAAGAAGAAAACGATTGAGCAGCGCAAAGACAGCCAAATGCGCTATGCAGTGACAAGCCAATGGCACAGACCGCGCCCTTAGCCTCTCTACGGCTGCGACACTCCACCAACCTGCCACCATCCGACTACTTTGACAATCAGAACTTCACTTTTCTCGCGTGTTTCGCCATTTTGGTGGCCTCGCTTGTGAACACAGCCTGGCATTTCTGTGCCACCTCCAGGAAGTCCATAGCCGCCTCTCCTGCAACACAGAATGAAGAGCTCTATGATCTCTATGTTGATGCTGAGACCCAGACTGAATACACCTGATCTCCTTCGCAAGCGGAAGAAAGAGCTGGGGACCAAGGTTGCCACCTTGCAGACGAAGCTCGCGCCAGACGACCCACCTGAAGGCCCGACATGACCAGGAGCTCCAAGCCCATCGAGAGGTACACGATCGACAGTGCGTCCGCTATGCAATAGATGCGGAGATCCACCACACGAACCATGGAGCCTGCTGGCATGCGCCTTACCAGTGTGCAAGCAGGGCACTGCGAATGTGACGTACACCTTGAAACCTTGCAAGGTGTGTGCCCACGACTGGGCCAAGATTTGTTTGAAGCGCCCGCGGAACCTTTTGGGCCAAACCGCCCTTTCGCTTCGGATTGCTCCGAGCTACTTGAGCCATGCCTACGATGGTGTGAAAAGGCCGCACCACCAGCCTGATTTGAGCTTTGTGTTTTGGTTGCCACTTGGTTGAGTTGCTACCAACCTCAAAATCATCATTGAGCTCCTCACTTGTCTTGAAATTCCAACCCGTCCCTCGGCCCACTTTACTAGATCGTAATATCTGAAAAGAACCTAGTGGCTGAAGACCCAGTGCCTGCTACTGTCAAGAGCGGTTAAGAGTGCCAGTGCGGAACACGATATGATTGCCCATCGTCCTGGAGGCCTTGGAACGTGATGTCCTCTACTGGTACTATCATGTCCTCTGAACGTGCGGCCCCAGCAGCTCTTGAATCTCTGCATGTCGCTTGGCAAAGTCACTGCTTTCAAAAAGCTCCTTCCACATCCTGGCCGCGTGGATTTCGTGCGCCTTCGTCTGGACGCGTCAAGCGACACTTCCGTCGGCTAGGTTGTTGCCTTAGTCTTCTGTTATTAGGTTGAAGGCCATCGCTAGTAGGTTGGAGGCCATCGCTTCTCAGTCTTCTGAAGCTTAGAGTTTCGCTACCTTCAATCAACTGCGCTCCCGGGACTGTCACAAGGCAAATAGAGGTGTCCCTGACGAGATTGGTCTGGATATTATTCATTTCACCACGAGTCAACCAACTTTAGCATCTATAGCATCGTTAGTGGACATTTAACGAGGTAAACCTCGTCTACCTCAAGGGCTGTTGGGGATTCGGTTCTCCACGTAGTTTGTGTAATGTTGTTGGAGTCATCAAGCTAATAACGTCAACATGACAGCCCGGACCTCTGGGGTCTGCTAAAGGTAACAAATCTGGACCAGCTATGAACTGCGATGGCTTATGGAAGGTTGTTGCGCGATACTCAATAATTTGGTAGTAAAATGTATGCAGCTGATTAAACCCATAGAAAGTAGCACAAAAGTCAAGTCTTGGATCACCACTGGTACGTTGGAGGTTTCTATTCTCCATTCAAACAATTTCAGGCCACGCATGTTTCCTTCTTGCTGGGGTTACAAAATTGGTTCCTTTTCGATATGGCTAGGGGCTCCAGGTCATAGGGCTTGTTTGCTCTTGACACATGTTTAGAACTCTCTTGGGCGCTTTTTGCAGAGATGCAGCTGCAGCTAAATGCCATTACGTTCATAGGAAGATCTCGGGTTATATGCTGTTAGGTTCCAACCATTTGGTGAAATGCACAATAGGTTTGCTTCGGATCATCAGATTCGGCCTCTGTAGTGGGCACCTCTCCATCAGCTGTCGGAAGTGCGTCTTTTCCTCGGCCAAAGTTAGGTGAACTCAACCAGGACACTCCGCTTGACTACCAGTAGTGAAGTGGAAACTGGCCCCTTGGAAGACGGTCTTTTTTTGGATACCGTTAGAGTACTCATCCACAGTAGGCCACCTTCGTCTGGGCGTGCTCCACCGTCATGGCGCACAAACCAACACACACACAAATAGCAGTTGATGCAAAGCAGCTGAACGATAATCACGTATTTAATAGTTTAATACAGTGATCGAACAAGTTAATATTAGATCAACAACGGATGACAAAGGTCTCACCACAGTGATCCCAAACTACAAGTGTTGGCTGTGGTGGAAATAGCCAGCAAGCCTGGGAAATTCCTTTTTGCAAGTCGGGTCCCAGACTGTTCCCCTCACACACAAAATGGACACCCGAAGCACAGAGTTTGTTGAGCAAGTTATCTTTCAAACAGGTAAGCTTCCATGTCCGTGTGCTGACTGGGTGAAATGCAGAAATCCACCAAGGTGACCATGCGTTCATTCAATGGGTTTCCAATTCGGTTTCGATCGTAGGCAACCAATCGAGCACCAAGGAATGGACAACTATCCAATCGATCGATCTCATGGGCGCACCTTTTCATGTTCTCTATAGATGCTCGATACACAAGATGCGCGTGTAAGCCATGGACCCAAGTCACCAAAAATGGCCTCGAACATGTGATGTAATTTAATGCTGAGGAGATAAATCCAACCGTGGCACGCATCCCATCTCATCTCGCTAAACTGGCCCCATATCATTTCTATGGACTCAAGAATTTCCACTATGGTTTGTGTCGGAAGCTGCTTTAAGCAGGTGTCTGGTACTTCCCTCAGATCCACTGACAATTTCTTCCAAAGAACCAAGCCGAGTAGCAAGTTCTCTCGTTGACCATTAGGTTTGATTCCCCAAAAGACTTTGGAGGTCAAGACATGGACGGCTAATATGATGCAACCACGTCAACTGCCTTGGGGTATTGGTCTAAATTCACCTCGCATTGACTTCATTTAACATGCGAAGCAGTTCTTGAGGATGCTTTTGCATGAAAACACACTATAAAACACATCGCTTAGACCCGGGAAAAGGCCAACGCATCCACTCATGATTCGGTCTTGACAAGTCCCTCAAGAAAACTCCTTGGTCAACTGGTTGGTCCAATTCTAGTTTTTCTGGGTTGTTTCCTCAGGGGCGACATATATAGATTAGATCTTGAAATCTCAGCTTGAAGATGGCCAATGGTTCCAAACGCAAACCAAAAACTTCAGGGACAAAGCTTCAAATGATCGTATAGATTTGAGAAGACCACCAGAGTTTGGGTGCGTTGGGTGCAAGACTTCTTTCAAAGAACAGCTCTGTCGAACATTCTCATATACTTGCATGGGAATGTCAAAGGGGTGGTTGCCGATATACTCAAATTACCTGGTAGCCACATATTCTTGAGTTCTGGGTCATTCTCAACAGCCACAGATCTACAGTAACTGATCATACTTCATCTAACTGAGCCTTCTTTGACCTTAGCACACTCGTGGGCTTGGAAGATGAGCTTCACTCGGGTCCGAATTCACCGCCGAAGGGATTGGGCGGTTCCACGGAAGGGCGTGCCAACAGAGAGGGGACGCTGAATGGCTGGTCAACAAAATCAAAGGCTATAAACAGCTGAACCAAAATGGATTTCACCAGAATAACTCAACAGTTTTCATCGGTTTCTTATTTTTGTGCCCATGGTCCATCCCTATCTAACACTGTTCGGAACAAATAGGGACAAACTTGAAGAACAGCACAGAGATGCTACGCCAGGTTTTAGAATGATTGTAGTTTTGGATTCTCTTCAAAGAGAGACTCCTGCAAGAACCTATCCAAATGGTCACGAATGTCTCCACAGACTAGTTCATCTACTGTATATACTTTGGCTCCGAAACCTGAATCAGACCTGATCCACAGAACCGCTAGACAAGCACTTTTCAGGATCCTGAATTGGATAATCAGAACCTCTGGCTGGTTCAGGTCCCAACCTCTTGCGAAACCACGAAACCACGGTCCCAAATCAGCAATCAGCACTGGCAAGCAACAGCAAACACTTTTTGATGTTGATTTCCACATCTTTCACATCCCTTCTCTCACTTTCAGGCAGCTCTTCACCATCAATGGCCGGCGTCTCTCACAAAGGAATACCTTCCATTTCGAGGGAGATTCCTGCTGCTCCCATCCACTGCTGGACGCTCTCCAATAGCCCTTGCTATACGAAAGCTAAAAAATCTTTCAGCAAGCACGATGAGTCTTTAGAGTTTTCTGGCCTCGTTTTCTTTCGGAAATGATTACTCTTTCTGTCAGAAAGCCTTTGAAAGAGGATACGTCACTTTTGGAAGACAAATGTTCAATCCCGGAACCTTCCCTCCGCCGCAGGTCTACCAAGGTCTCGCGTTCTTGCGACCAGCCCACATCTTTATGCAGGTCCAAGGAGGCACATGGACTTGACTCAGAAGTAGCCAGAGGCACATGGATTTAGCATTCAAACATACAGGGCATAGAGGTCCTTGGGTACCCAAATGAACAATTCAGCCCAGCCTGGTGTGCAGGATATTGTTCACCAACAGCATCAACTTAGTTGTTCACGCAGCTCTAGCGGGCACTCCTGCCTCAAGGGATGCCCTGATTGAAGTGAGGAACAATTGAAGTGCTGGGTGAGCATTTCACGGCATTTCTGGTGTCGGTGATGCGTTTGAGACTAGGGAAAGGGAAGTCGAGGTCAGTTTCTTCCCAGAAGGCCAGGGCCCGTACAATCTCCAGAGATGGTTTCTCTACCGCTCTGAGAATCCAATGCTTGAGGTTCAGCAACAAACAGCATTGCAGGCATAGTAGTCAAACTTGTTCAACTTGTTTGAGTGTTTGGTTGGTTTAGCTCTTTCTGGGACGAATGCCTCCTCAATTGCAGTTGGCAGCTCCCTTTCCGCATCATTCTTCATAGCCCTCCACAAGATCATGCTATCCGCATAACCAAAGCCATTAATAATTCCTTTTCGAAACCGTGCATCAGTGCAGCCCCTCCACTCCTCCCTGGACCGCAGAGTTGGAAGATAGTCTTCGCTGTGCATCTCAGGTCTTCTTGTGCGGGAGCCGTGCAAGGGTTTGGCCAGTCTCCATATCCATGCCTCGGAGCGGCCCAGTCCGGCCCAGTCCATACCTAAGCATGGAAAGCATGAGGTCATCTGGTCAACCGATCTGAGTTCCAGCAGGATACAGTAAAACTAGGGCAGGAGCCAATTATGTATACACAGTATATAATTAGATTGGATCATTGCGTCAGTTCTTTGTTGTTCAAAACCAACTGCGTCATTTCGGATGGCCCCGGATCAGTCTTGACCCCCAAAAGCTCTGCTTGTTTCTTTTCACTTGTCAAGGCTGCAATGGGATGAGAAAGAAACACTTGTTATGGGATCTAGGTGGTAAACCAGAATCCAGGCCCTTGAATAAGCATTCTCGGTCCGGTCCAAGGATAGCGCGGAATTCAAGGCCTTTGGGGCAAGCTGCACCTCGCCGATCGCAGAATTCATTGGGATCGGGACATGAAGGCTGTCGTGGTGGCGAGGGTTTTGTAATGCTAAAACAATTAACAAAGGTTTTGGCCACGTGCCCCTACAGTTAACTGGGGCGCTGACAACATGTCGTCAAAAAAATTGGCAATCAATCTCTGTTGTGAACATCGCAGGTGGGGCAGGATTTGTGTCCACCAAACCCAGTAACTTTTGTTTCAAGCCCTTCATGTGATTTTGGCACACCCTCAGATTGCCCTAAGCTCCGAACGGCTCCAAAATGGGTACTCCCAAATGGTATTTAGAAAGAGCTAAAAACTGAGGTTTCCAGGTGGTTCAATTTTTGATCAGATATGTTTGCACCACACATCTGGGATTTTGTCCCGACACTCAAGCTACCCAAGACGATATTGAGATCTGTGTATAGTATATCTGTATTTTCAGGCTGAACCCGCATGATCTAAGCTTTCCTCTTTCTCAGCTCTTTGCTATCGTATGCTTTGCAATTTCAAGCTGACACAGCTCCTCTGTCATGTGTTCTCTCGTACCTGATGGTTTGGTTTTCTCTATGAAGCTCATGTCTCACTTCAGTCTGCATATCCGCATGACCAGGAGGTTTTCCCTATGGTTGAAGTTCACGGTGTTTCTCGGTCTCTTTTTGGTTCGGTGTTTCTCGGTCGAGTTCAAAATCGATGTTAATTTTTTGATGTTCTTGGATGAAAGATGTCTAGCAAGGTGGGTGCATACATATATCAGATATCTAACAACTATCTTCATCTGAGGTCTGGTTCATGGACGTGGAGCGGCGTGAGAACATGAGAGAGAGGTGCAATCAAGCAGATTGGAACCACGGTGCAGAACTGCAGTGTAGGGTACAGGGCATCGACTGACTTGTATACCAGGTTGTATTCTTATTCCAACCTGCAGTAAAACCCTTGCAAAAGACAAGGCTCTTGTGATCGGGAAGGGCATGTTGAGGAAAGAGGAAGAGGAAAACAAGTTTCTGAGCACGGAAAGAGCTGAAAAACAGGAGTAGCTAACTAATCAAAGATTTGGACTCTAGGCACCAAGAATCTACAAAGTATACTTGCTCATTAATCCTGTTGTATCTTGTGTAGCTCCTGTGATATTCTTGAGAAATTCGTATGAATAAGTTATTCTCAGTAGTAGTCTCAAGAATGACGTCATCTACGCAAGGAAAGAGCTAGGCAAGATATTATGGAAAACCACTTGACTAATAATATCCTCGTTGACATTTCATTCAGAACTTGGGCCGCCAGATTTTCTAGTAGGATTCTAGGTGAGGTGGTTACAAGGCAAGTGCCTTGGGGTAGAACATGGTGCGTTCAGCAAACAATATCCTAAGAATTTAAGGCGGGGTCCCAAAATGACACCTTCCAAAATAGTCCCTTGAAAACTCTCTGTCCAGGTTCAGCTTCAAAACTATCAGCAAGTATATAAAACAATCAATGTCTAATTTTCCAGGAGAACATTGACAGCTGCATAACAAACAGGCATGGACATCCCAGAAGTCATTTTCTAGGAGCCTGCTCTGGCATCCAATCGTCATTTTCTAGTAGAACCAATTTTCCAGGAAACTGCGGCTCAATGCTTCAAAATGCAATGTCAGCAAAGATTTCCTTTTCTTCTCTCCTCTCTGCTTTCCCCAGAAAGCTGTCTGCTAGTCCCTTGAAAATGCATTTTTGGTTCTTGCACTGTTCCTCAAAACCTCCTAAAAAAATGCAAAAAGGAACAGCAAGAAGTTCAATTTTCTTGTTTATAGAAAGTGATTGGGCATCAACTCAGTCTATAAAGGTAGCTCTCTAGAAAAACAATAACATTTCCTAGTGGAAATATCATCGGGGATGGACTAATTTATACACAGTCCCCGTTGCTACCGACTACTGAGGTTCACTCCCCATTTTACTTAACAATTGGTAATCTAAAATGACTGGTACGACTCAAAGACTATACATCTAATTTTCTGTACTTAAAACGTGCAAACAGAAAACCACTTTATGTCATGACTGGCTAATTTAACTGGCTAATTTGACTGTGCAAAGAGTTCACCCGTGTCATCCATTTTATTTACCCATTTTAGATAACCCTTAAACTAAATGAGTCAAATAAAATGGCTTTTCAATTTTCCTTGGTCGACCACACATTTTAGCCAACCGGCAGCAACGGGAATTATATAAAGAATCCTTGAGAATAGAAAAGAGCTTGTTTTCAGACAAAGATAGGAATTACAAAGCCACAGGAAACACTACTAGGAGCTCCTGGCATCGCTACTAGGAGCAAGGATGCTACTAGGGGCTCCTGGCCGTACTACTAGGAGCAAGTAGCTACGAACGTAACAAGAAGCTAAGACATGCTTTTCTCCGGCGGTCGTGGTCCGGTCGCCGTCTGCTCCGGTCCTGGCGGTACGACACTCCAGCTCTTCGATGGCGTAAAGGTTTCCACCGCGGTGGCCTCTTTGGGCAAACCGTCCACCGCTGCCTGGGCAAAGCGGGTGGTTTTTGAGTTTCACTTTCAACTGGTCAAAGCAGCGAAGAGTTTTCGTGGTGTGGACATGATTTGAAGAACGCAGGGGTTGAGGGTTGGATCTAAAAAAACAACTGCGGAAAAGGAGCGAGAAGGGTTTCATGGGTCAGGTCGGTCATTATTTGAGACACAGTTCTCTTTTCAGTCTTTTTTGTGCACTTATCGGGGATGTGATCCAAACCTGGTAGCCCAGGTGAAGATCCTACAACTGCACCGAAGATTGTGGGATGTGGACCAAGTTTCAATAGGTCGATTTGTGTTTCGTTTTGACTGTTCCCACTTCTACAACATGTGCAGCACTTCTTCGTTGGACACGAAAACCCAAAGCGTGGCAGGGGAAGGCCCGAAAACGATACAGGGCTCAACTAACGCGCATGAACAAACACTGCTGTCTGTGTAAACGGATTGATATGATATTGATTGATATTGATATTGTTCATAATTCGTACAGAAAATAACGCTCAGGGAAAGGCCTGCTCTGTAATTATATACATACACTCTACATCACTCTACCCTATGCACAGGGAGCACAGTCGATTGAAGAGTGACATGCTAGCAAGTTCTTGGCAGTTTCAACTGCACCGCCCAAAACCCAGCTAACATAGGCTCGTCGGCACTGTGATTGTATATTTCTTTCTACCTGTGTTTGCACACCTTGTCTTTGGGGCAAACCATCAACTTGAATCTGTACATATCCAAAAGAGAATAGAGATTTGCTCGACTCATCCCGAGCACAACGGTCGTTGCACACCTTTCGGCAACCCGGTTGACTGGCTACATGCATAGAAGATTGCCATTTAAGCAGCCTCTGGTGTATCAACATGAGATAACACCCAACAACACCTGTAGAAGATAACCTGAACGAAGACGCAGTAGTCAAGGACTCTACATTGACTTCCCAGTGATTGAAGCCTTCTAGATTGTACTCGGATGATACATTTTTCTCAGCCGGCTGTTCGCCATCATTTAGTCCCACCTTGTGCTCAAGCAACATACCTCAGTTCCCCCTGCCCTCGCTTTGCGCGCTTCGCCACTCACGGCCTGCGCATGATCTGCAAGCTCTGTCTTACACGCGGAGAGCAGCGCATCAAAGTGAAATGCGCTTGGAAAACCAGAAGCGTCCTCAAAGGGCTGTGGGTCATGGATCTTTTTGCTCACTCTACCAACATGTCGCCTCCATATGCTCGAGAAGCACGGCTTTCAAAACCCTACTCTTGGGAGGGGGTTGCCAGTTTGGCAGTCTCCCAAACCGAGCGGAAGTGTGAATTTGGTCTTCAGCCTTGACTCATACTCAGTTTGTCAATACCTAACAGATATACCAGGTCAGTTTGTCAGGTTTGGCGTGTACCGGAGTTGACCCAAGTCAGGGTCGACCATCCTGCAATTGCACTTGGCTGGAACAACAATATACCGCCCAGGTACTGACAGGGACAAATGACATGTATATACACTTACAGGTTGCCCCAAATTGTAATATTTATATAGTACCAAAGAAGAGAGCAGCATCCAAAAGCAAGTCCATAGCAACCTTGAAAAACCACACTGTACTACTGTACTACTTTTCATCCCAAGTTTCCGGGATTACCGCACACTTAAACTGCTCTCTAAACTAACTACCAGAAGCGGCCAAGAACCGTTTTAATTGCAATGAAGTTCTTCGGCCTAGACAAATCCTTCGCTGAATCTCCTCCATGGCATCAGCAAAGAATATGTAATGTCTAAAACACAACACAAGAAACCTGACAAATCCGACATCCCAGGTCTACAAATTCGCCTCATCTCACCCCGGCTCCTGCAGGGTGGTGAAGAGCTGTGCCAGCTCCCCGAGACCTCGATTGACGCCCTCCACGACTCAAATGGGCAACATAGTGCTTCATGATATTGTTGTGTGTATCCTTAACACACAAGAAACACCGTTTTTTAATTTGAAGTGTCATCTCAACACTTGAAGTATATAAGGGCAAAACTGAACGTATTGCAGGTGCACACTGAGAAGGTAGGATTGTAGCACCCACCAGAAACGTCCAGAGATTGCGTTGCACATCAGTAGGACTCTACATAACTACTCAAACGTCAGCGTTATCCGAAATCGGTCCGAAATTGTTGTGACACGTGAGAACCTCCGTGAGAAACTCCCACTAGGCTCAAGCAAATGAAGGAAAGTCAACATGATCTGTCTCCCAACATGGGATTGCTTGGGGCTCAATGTCCCTGCAACATCCCATGAACCCTACACACAAAACGCGGGAAATGCTAACTGCATATCCCAAAGTCACGTTTTGGTTGGAAACACGCTACCGTGGCCCTATTGTGGATAGCAGCTTTCCTCTGTTGGTGGATCAACTAAGTCTAGCGAAGCGATGGACCCTTTGCACTCCTTGAACTCATCCTCCGCTGTGTATACTGTTCTACTTCTGGTAGAAACCAATCCCAGCAAAATATTCCACGAAGATGAGATGTCGCAATAACTGAAGTTGCATTATGCCGTCATCCCCAACAGACCCCTCAAACACAGTAGCCCAATCTATTCTTACGGAGCAGTTCGGCACTGCAGGTCTGAATGTCCCTCCGGATCGCCCTCACAGTGCAGGCACCTGAGCCTGACTCAAAGGCCTCCTGAATCCGTTCCAGCCGCTTTTGGAGCGCGGAGGCCTTGTGGATGCGAACGAAGCGTGCAACGAGAACAGCCCCGAAGCGTCGTGAGCGGATGATTTAAGCCATCCCCCATAGTCAAATTTCCCACCTTTCTCAAGAGATGGAAAATGAAAAGAGCTCAAAACCATACACCGTTCTTTTTTGGTTTTTCATTTTTTAGCGCAGCTGTACCAGCACAAACCAAAGGAACTAGATGTTGCCCATCAGGCTCCACTGCCCATCCTTCGCATCCAATCTGCATAGTTTTCAACATGGAACACGAGTGTCACACTTCAATCGTGCATCAGTTCACCACCAAATCCTGACCGTTAGAGCAGTTCAGCTTGCAATGCTTTGATACGTTGTGGTCCAACTGCCTCACCAGAGCCCACCAATCCGAAGAGCAGTCGAATCCTTGGTCAGCTTGGGCAAGTAGCGATGCCAAACTTGCTCAACAGTTTCAGCAGTGGAAACTGGTTTGGGGTCTAGTATTGGGCCCTGCGAGGTTAACAAAAGATGCCCCAGACTGATTTGATTGTTCGCTGTCTTTTCTTGTGTCAAGATCCATTGTTTGAGTGAGAATGTAGCGTCACCGCTTGACATGACTGCTTGAAGGACCTAAACAAAATATGGTTGAACAACTGGTTGGCACATGATTGCGTGAAGGACGCGGTACCTGATAAACTATGCCTCGTTGTGATATATTGTTTCTTATCGTGATTCTATCAACACAATCATGGTAAGGACTTCCCAACACACTCGAAGAATCTGTGGCCACAAACTCCAAACCGACTTGTTTGGCACGCATTCCTCCACAGGGATTGCTGTGATTCAGGGCCATCTATTTGGACCCAGGAAGCTTGATCTTCTGGGAATTTGATGCTGCCTTTCTTCAGGTAGACCAATCGGGAGCAGCGAATCTGCTTGGCAAACTGGCTGAATCCAGTTGACAAATTCCCAGTTGACAAATTCCCCGCAATCAACATCAATCCAGTCATCCAGGCCTGCTTTTCCTTGTCAAACACACAAGCCTTTACACCCAGGTTCAATTGCTTCAAGCCTGGTAACCTGGTAGTAGGATCTGTTGTGCAAACACATTCATTGACAAGCAGCTCATCACACGCACATATATTGACTTATACATGCATGCTGATATATCACACACATATACTGATACACTTACATAGGCAACCTCCCGGATGCCAACAAAAATAGGTACATATATATTTCAAACTATATCATCAGTCTTCTTGCGCAGCACATAGTACATCACCTCTCAACCAACAAACATGCCAGTTTCCACCAACAACCTGGAAATGCCCAATCTCAATCTCTCCAGTCCCTGCAGTGGCATACCCAGCCAATGGACGGATGGTGCTTCTTTAAGGCCATCAGGACATCTCGCTGAGAGACCTGCTGGCGTCGAGCGCAACAGGCTGCGAGAGCATATAGCACCTGATATAGCATAGAGCACATGTAGATTGGAATCCACAACAAAATCGACATCGTTGATGGTCGATTGCAGGTGTGTTGTTGTGGGCTGACAAGGTCATATTTTGCCAAATTATTTAGAGATTAGAGTGTTCATTTTCATACAGATCCAGTCAAATGAGATATTTGAAAAGTCATGGCCATGCAGAACTGTTGTGTTCTCTGGTATGTATATATATATATATACACATAGTTGGACATGTTTGCACGGAATAGTTCCTTGGTTTCAATCCTCAGAGAACCACGACCTTTGAATGACTTAATACTCCTCCTTAGTCACTGCGTGAATGGCCCTGACTGAAAGCTTGTCAACCACTCCTCTCGCCAGTCCAAGAGTGATCATGGTTGAGTTAAATGTCACAGTAAATGTTAACCGGGGAATGTCTTTGTAGCAAAGGGCATCGCTACTAGTAGCAAGAAGCTACTAGGTGGATTCGTGCCGTAGTTTATCCAGTGCCCCTCCATGGCCCTGATCCGCCTGGTTTTTCTGACTGCGATCCATCAGTTCGAAGAGCTTCTTGATGTGCTCCTCTGTCCACTTGGCCTAGCCAGCGCAGCTGAGGCATGCTGAGGCATGCTAGCTCTGCGTCCTTGCTAGCGCTAGGCCACCATGCCAAGACACATACCATGCCTAGTGTCCCTGAGTTTCGTTGGTGAACTACAGTAAACAAGCTAGACTAGACGAATCAATCAGGGGCTTTGCTTCACATCAATCAAGATACAGATCTCGCAATTCACTAGAAGTGCATGCTGCAGCTGCCACCTGAACACAAGCTAAAGACACGTGGATCCCTATGCCCTATGCAAACCTAGTTTGGACGCGGAGGAAGCTAGACCACGAAATTACCTTCGAGCGTATGTGGACAATGGATTCAATCACCTAAATACAATTAAATACAATTCAACGTCTTGCTGAGTAGTATAGAGATATAGAGTTGTATACAGTATCATCAATGGCTAGCAATGTTCCCGAATGTTGGACTCTGGAAACTCTTCCAGAACTGTCTATGCTCTTTCGCCCAGTCAAGGCGGGCAGATCACCGGTGATCTGGTTCTCACAGGATCACTGGTTCCGCGGTTCTGCCAACCCGGAGCTCCCGCACCGGCTGCTTCACCTCTACAAACTCCAGATCTTCAACCTGAAGGGAGAAAGCAGAGAGGTCCGGGGACTTTTTGTGTTGTTTGGTGTGGGTGGCTATTTAGTTTTGTTTGGGTTGCTTGGACTAAGTGGTTCCAAGTTCCAACTAGTTTAGGTGCTGGATTGGTTTCTACATGCTGTTTGGGATCAATACGCGCAAGTCGCAGGGTTCTCTTTTGAGCTGTTGCTGCCCAGTTCTGGTCCAAAATATGAGTTCAAAGGAGCCAACACGAGGTCAGTGGAGGACAGCCCTTTTTGTTCTCGAGTTTCTTCAAGCAAGGCAAAACAGGGATTGCCGCACCTAAAGACATAGCTGCTTCTTGTGGCAACCAAACCCGTAGCGCTAGCCAAGAAAGTCAGCAGCCAAGAAACCAGCAATCCAAACAACTTTAAAGGAATCAACATTAGAAACTAGAAATCTAACTTTGCAAAGGGGACAATGATAAAGGACATTAGGCATTTTGTAGAGGTATTGTTTAAATAAGGTCCCCGGGACTACTCACTGATTCTATATTTCTTCTAACCGACGAGTCAGTCAGCCAATACTTGAACCGTTCCAAACGGCGACGACAACCTTTGTCGGACATGCTTGATGGTAATTCGTCGATGTCGTGGTGGATCATGGTTTGGGGTATCCTGTCCATGTGAAGACTCTTACCACGACCGCCGACTGGCCTGAGAAATGCGTGGTACTTATCATCCTACAATGCAATTCTATGCATTTTTTCATGTATATACTACAATAAATTATACAACATGCATGATAACCTGGGGTTGACAAGTACCATACTGTAGATATCGGTAAATGGATCTCATTCATGTTTCCTTATTACATTTTTGATATCATTTGCATCACCAGGTCCATGAAAGGCATACTAACGATTCCTTTCAACAGTTTCGATCATTTGTCGCTACAAGCATACCACTTCATGTCCTGTCCCAGATCATATGGCACACCATCTCCACATCAAATGTTGCAACACCATGCAACACCTTCCATTTTCCCTGTGGTTTCCATGTTTTCTTCCACCATCACTTCCCCTCCAAACACACCTCGTGATGCAGGATATGCATTTCCGTTCCTAAATGAAAAAGGCAACCCCCCAGAGTTAACACTCTGGGAGCTCAGAATACGCGCCCCAACAAATTACGCCCCTCGGCGCCTTCGGCGCAGGCGGAATTTATTTTTCTACGCACATGCCACATTGCATTCTAATCCCTTTCCAATCCTTTCCAGACTGCACAAAGACAAACTTAGTTTGCAAATGGCGAATGAAGAGCAACATCTGGGGATAATCTTTTCCCTCTTGCTCTCCCATTGAGGCCTCCTCATGCTTAGACTCCCGGAGCTCTTTCTTCCGCTGCTGTCTTTCCTGCCCAGAAAAATACATTTTGGAGTCTCCACTGCACAAGCAAATGAGACTCAACTGAAGTGGTTCAACTCTCCGGCTGCACCATCTGTACCCAAAAACCCAGGTAGTGTACGGTCGGGGACTCTACTGTCGAAGAAAACCATTTCATACGCCTTAAGCCGCACATACTAAAATTGTATTTAGCTCTTATTCCTTCTGCTGTGGTTGGTTCCCGTCTGTGGGCTGGGTGCGACCAGGGGCTCATCTCCCGTTCTTTATATATGGCAGAATTTCAAAAGCGAAACAGTGTAATTTCCGCCTCGACCCCCAAGTCTGCGAAATAAGCCTTCTGATGATGGTTTGTTTGCCTCTTTGTGCTGGGTGTGACCAGGCATTTAGTTGCGGTGGTTGGTTCTGGGCTTGCCTCTTTGGGCGGGGTGCGACCAACAGCCGCATTCATAGTCCACATCGCACGGCGGGAAGGCATAGGGGGTAAGGACGCAAGATGTATGGGACATACAAACCCTAAATTAAGAAACCCAACATTAGAGTCTACCTGGAGCTCAGATTTCTTATTCAAATACGTAGGATTAAGAAATATTCTAGACATTTCTAGACTCTATCGAAAAAAAGTTTATTTCTTATAACACGCTTCAGCCGTAGTGGCAGCAGAAAGCGTGACCTCTACAAATGATTCCGGCTATGGAAGCTCCTCAATCGGCGCCGTGGACGGTTGACAATATGGCTTCGACAGTGTCGAAAGGGCTGTTGAAACAGCTCGGCATCCCAGCACGGTCTTCATGGGTCTTCAACGTGGTCTCCATGGGTTTTTGCAGTTCCATGAGCTTTGACGGACGAGTTTTGGGACAGATTGATCTCAGCAATCAGCAGATCTTCAGCCATAGTCAGCTGGCAGACTCCTAGACAAGCTCAGCTCCTAGGCCTGCTGTGATTATCCTGTGTCCATGCTCGCTGAAGGAGAATGCACCAAGTTAATATCGGCACTGACTGTTTGCCAATACCGCTACAGCAAGAACAGAGGTATATACGCAGTGTCACGACACAAAGCACCGGGGAGCTGCAAAAAACAAACAATGCATAGCCCAGCTGAAGAGGTCTGAATATTAAGAAGCTTTGGTATTTGTACATGTGTGTATGTATGTCCGGTCTGGTCTGGTCTTGTAATGTGATGTGATGTGATGTTATATAATGGCATGTATGGTATGGTATGGTATGGTATGGTATGGTATGGTATGGTATGGTATGGTATGTATGTGTCTGGAAAAGTTCAAAAGAAGTCAACTCAAGTGCATCGAACATTGGAATGACGTAGAGTTCCTGCTGACTTGCACAAGACCAAATTTTCCCATTCTTCTTGACAAGAGCAGTTGCAGATGTCTGAGTCAACAGAAGTCACGCTGTAAGAGTTACGCTAAAGTAGTCCACCTTCAAAGTCCAACCATTCCAATTGCTCGATTCTCTGAATACCGATCCTGGTCAGCAACCGCAGTTCTTTCTTGAATTGAAAAAACATTCCATTTCCATCCTCTTCCCACGATCTTCTCACGCTTGCAGCTTGCTTCGAACCGGCCTTGGCCGCGTTTTGCCGCTCTGCCTTCTTCAGCCGTGCCTTTTCACGCTCCTTAGCAACTGTCTCCTTCGCCTTGGGTGCGGGGCCGATGGGATTTCGTGGACATGAGTGGACACATGTGTGTGACTCATGTGACTCATGTGATTGGAGTGTCCACTGGAGTGTTCGGGACCTTTCGCGTCTTGAAATAACTTTGCCCACACTATCCATGCTGTTCATGAACTAACTAGCATCCTGCAAAGATTTGCATTATCACAAAGGTGTAAAGTAGGTAGCCACACTGTTTGGCAAAGTTCTGCTCATGTCCGTAAACTGTTGAACAAGTTCACATCTAAATCATTATCAATGCTACTGATGGTCAAATCATGCATACATATGCAGCACTTGAGTAACAAACCCCCGTTCGGAAGCCGGGTCAACGATCTGCAAGATCTATGTTAGCTGGTTGGTATTGAAGTTTCAGGCATGGCCAGTTGTAGTCTCAGTGCCATCTCTCTCACTCTCTCAATCAACAACCATTGGTCCATGGGTCTCTTCATTTTCACACATCACATGAGCATTTCTTTCAGCCAACATGCTTTTGCAGGATCCAACGGACCACAACCACTCTCAGCAGGATCTCACTGTCCTTGACAACCAAACCCACGGCACAGCACCTTGTCCTTGGCCGTTTTCACCACCTCCACCTCCTTCACTTCCCTTTGCAAGCGAACAATTGGTTGCCGTCTGTACTGCAAAACATGGAGTGGACAAAAACATGAAGAAACAAACACATAATATTTCTTCTATGAATATACAAAACAGGTGTTTTTTTTGGGGGGGGCCATGTTTGTTTGTGCCTCTGACCATGCTTGCAAAAACCGGTTCATAGATCACGACCCGTGAGCAATACCTGCAAAAGAAGATACCTGGATTTGTGTCAAATGAACACTCTAAACTTTATTGGGTCAATACAGGGCTCGTGAAGAAAAAACAGGTTATATAACTTCGCCAACCCTCATTCTGAATCCTCTGTCGCCAGGCTTTGAAGGCAGGATCATTGCCCTATATATGCCTAGATGCATGTGCAAGCCAACCACTCCGCCACTGCCTGGAGTTGCTGCTGCTGCTTCCTGGTTTCTTTTGCTGCCTGCATCCAATGCGAGGTCTCAAACGCGAGGGCCGCAACTCACTCCGCTTCCTGCTCATCCAAAGGGAGACTTGCGACAATGCACCGTCTGTTGATAGACCCATCCCAGTGACCTACTCTGTACAGTAGGAAGGGATTGCAACAAAAATCTTATGTCTTCAAACCAACGATTCTCTCAGCACGGCCAATCGGACAATGAATCAATCTTGCTTGAGGCGGGTTCATCGGAGCGTGGGAAGTGGATCTTCAGCAGTCAGCTACTTAAGTCAACCATTCTGCAAAGAGTCATGTAGGGCTCGTCAAACCCCGTCATGCACATAGCACAACCTTCATCAAAACCAAACTTGACCAACCTTCGGACCCTCATACTTATTGTTGAATTATCCCGGCAACAAACCCCAACAGTGCGTGTGAGGTTTATTGGTGTAGCAGCAGAGAGTCTAGAGCGAGAGGTGATGGTGGTGATGAAGGTGGAGGTGGAGGTGAGTGAGAGTGAGAGTGAGAGTGAGAGTGAGAGTGAGAGTGAGAGTGAGAGTGAGAGTGTGAGTGTGAGTGTGAGTGTGAGTGTGAGTGAGTGAGTGTCTTGAGATTCACACCGTCGAGTTGCACAAAGTGCTGCGCCTGCCGTGCAATCGTCACTTCGAGGTTCACAAAGTGCTGTGCCTGCCACGAAATCTGCACTTCGAGGTTCACAAAGTGCTGCGCCTGCCACGAACTCTACACTTCGAGGTTCACAAAGTGCTGCGCCTGCCACATCAAGGTCGACAAAGTACAGCACCTGCCGCAAAACCTGCACTTCATTCAAGGTCCACAAAATACTGCACCTGCCATGAAATGTGCACTTCAAGGTCCACAAAGTACTGCGCCTGCCACGAAATCTGAAAACGAGCCGCATGTACAAGTGTCACGACTCATTGCACCTGTCACGAAGTTAGAGCCCGTTGAAGATTTCCACCATATCCAAAGTGCTGCCCCTGCCACGAAATCTGCACTTCGAAGTAAAGCCGCTCCGATCCCCCTTGCGCCTGTCACGAAAAGTCGACTTTGGAACCACCAAAGCACGAGGTTTCCCTTGCGCCTGCCACGAAAAGTGACCACCATGTCCGAAAATGCGCGCAGCACCACAACGAGAGCGCAGTCGCGAGAAGCACCCGCTCCAGCCAACCAGATTTTCCGAGCCTGCAGTCGAAATGCACTTTGAGGATTTCGAGAGGCATGCATGTACTGTAAATAGCAGCGAATTAGCCCGACACGACCGCGCGACACCTCGATTAGACACCGGCCCTTAACCACTACCGTAAGAACCCCTAGTGTGACCACACTGTTTGAGGAAAAAAGATTGGATGCACGCACGGGAGGTGAATCCATGAATTCCAACTGCTTGGGAAGGTCGAGTCCTCATCGGAATGCATGTCTTGCCCTGCCACTGCCTGGAGTTGCTGCTGCTGCTTCCGGACTTCTTTTGTCGCCTGCATTTGACTGATGGGAGGTTGTCTCGTGTCATGAGGAACCCTGCAAACTCCCCCTGGTTGCCAACAATCCTGAAGGGAAACAGCCAGCGCCACCAACCAAAGACTCCAAGCTTGTAACATCTACGTGTGTATATATATATATAATAAATAAAGGAACATCCAATCCAAGATCCAAGGAACCATTTTCCACTTCCATGATTGTTGTATATGTACTATAGGCTGCAGCTACCCATCCGAACTATGACCATTCTTCCCACTCACTGCTAGAGGAAGAGTTTGGCTGCTTCCAAACATAGAATACTCTTATACACTATAACCTTTGTATGACACAAGACGTGTTTTTGGTACAATTACTCTCAACAAAATGCCTTGTAGAGTTGATACACTGATCTCGATGTGTACATTCAGCAAACTCGGTTTTGCTTCCTGTTCAACTGTTCTTACTGGATGAGCCGGATCTCAACACCTTACGCCTTACACTTCACAAGCGAACTCACTGTTTCAACGGACCTCTTTAGCAAACGATCTGGCGTTCCAGCTTGTGCAAAGCTTACAGCGGTTTCCACCTCTCAGGTGCAAAGCAGTACCAAAAGCCGAACATGTTGTTTTTTTCATTTATTTCGCTGTAGATCAGCACCAGCACCTAGTTGCTGAGTTATTTGCTGCGCGCTGGGACCCCGCCACCAGTTCTGGTCCAAGACACTTTGATCAATTTGATAAGGATTAGCAGTTAATAAAAAGAACACATTGAACAAAGAACGCACGAGCCCCTATAATAAGGCCCCAAATCCACATAGTGGTTTTGCGCAATATTTTGGGACACACGTTTGGCAATTTGGGTTGATGGGTTTGCCCTTGATGCAAAAGGCGTTGGTCCCTTAGTTGTTTCCTGAGCTGCTTGCTTGGTCGGATCCCCTGCTTGGAGTCGCTGCACAAGACTCAGAGGTTCTTTTGGTCCGGTTTGGGCAAATAATGAGAGTACTGGCCTATGTACCCGCTTCATCAGGAAGGTAATAGATGCGGGCAAAATGCTGTGAAAGTTGCATGATCTATTGTTACTAGGAGCAAGGATGCTACTAGGGGCTCCTGGCCGTACTACTAGGAACAAGAAGCTACTAGGGGCTCCTGGCATCGCTACGTACTAGGAGCAAGGACGCTATATATAACTTATATAATCTATTGTTATCCCATCCGCAACGGCGCTGCCTGGAGCTGCTGCTCCGTTGGGGAGTTCTTCGCTGCCTGCGCCCGCTCCAGCGCCTTGGTTGAGAGTCAGCGTGATGCCCGAGACCCCGACGAGTCTGGAGGTGATCGTCCAATACCAAATTCCGGTGCATCAATCCGGTGCTTCATCAGTACAATAGATCGCCAAACACTTCGAGGCCAGTGTGCATTTCTCGTGTTGTGTCCCTTTCTTGCACCACTTCAGCTTTCCAATCCTAGTCCATTCCTGAAACCGATGGTGGGACCTTGGCAGCAACAGCCCACCAATTTTGGTGAGAGACAAGCCCAAGCTTGATTGAGGCACTCGGTTGAAAGAGTGTACAGCGGATCTCTTCTATCAGCCGGGGCTATGCTGGTGTGATGGAGCTTGCTCAAAGGAACGCCGCCTGCGTCCCATCCATCGGGCTGGGGGGAAGAATCACAGTCTGGTGAATTCAGTCTGGGTCATTTCACTGGTTCACACCAGTGCCGGAATGGCCGGCTTCCAGCGGAAACACAAAACATCAAATGCGATTTGGGGAATGATGGGAATTCAGGTAGTTTCTTACCTCCTCCTGCCCCGTGGTGCCCCAAAGAAGCACAGCCAAGGCTCTTCCAGCTATCATCGACCCTAGTTCCGTTTGCTCCACGACCTTGACGATTTCCACGATTTCCGCCACGACCAAGCGGCTCACGCCTGTGCCACTCGAGGCGTCCGAACATGATCTTGAATCCTCACATCCAGTATTTGGGCAATCACAGCCGGGGCATCAACAGTAAATTGAGGGATGATGCCTAGGGCGCGTGAGAGCAATGAACACATTGACAATCCACTTGCCATTGTCTCCCCACCATCAACAACAGGGTCCAGAAAAGCAAGGGGGATCCAGGTGTCACTGGCATTGATAAGTCGTAAATGGCCGGGCAAAGTCCAAAACACTTGTTCATCAACTCACTCTCCTAGATTCCTAGATCTTATAGCTGCTTGCACTTGCATCATAAAAGTTACCCTGAGGGGAACACCAACACAAGTCGGATGGGCTGGTGTGAATGGTCGCTGGACTGCTGGCTGGAATGAGTGATGTGAAAAACTATTGAAAATAAAACACATACCACTGAATCTAGAAATCTGTCAAACTAGATCAGACTACCAACCGAAGTTCATTCAAAGACCCTGCTTAAGTATGCTTAAGTAGTACAGTAACTAGTCCTCACTGCATTCCCAACTAAACCGCCAATCCGGACTGTAAATCGAACGCAAAATATACGCCTGGACCGATTCAGCTGCCGTGGACTGCGGCTCCGTGGTCGGTTCCGCTGCCCGCCAGTGGGTCGGCGCTGCTCGCCCGACCGTGGCGACCGCCGTGGCGAACGTCGCGGTTCCCCCGATCGTGACCGCCGTGGTGAGCGTCGCCGCTGGCCTGATCGCGATCGTTTAGGCGATCTTTCCTTCCTATTTGATCGCGATCGTTTGGGCGATCTTTC